ATATATAAAATATATCTTAATATGTAGATCTCACTTATTTAGTTGTATATTGTCATTATTTAAAAATGAATATTTTACATTTGCAGTTAATATATACTTTACTATCATGCATCTTATGTAATTCTTTTTTTCTGTTTCTGAAATATTTAAAAAAAATGTTGATTATAAATGCATGTTGGTATTTTATAGAATTTTATTAGAAATAATGTTTAGCTTTATTTATTGATGGTATTTATATTCGTTATTGAAATGCTTTTACAATATGTGCCCTATTACTTGATCCTGTATATTTTAACCATTTCTGTAACTATATATTATATGGTAAAAAAAAAATGCAAGATATATTGATTAGTGGATTTATGTGTATTGTAATTTTTCTTGTTATTATTATCATTATTATACTGTACTTGTACGCCACCATCCAGAATGCCACTGTCTATTTCCTGGAAATATTCAAGCGCAATAACTTCTTTTTGAATGTAATATTAAGACACACACACACACACACACACTCGCCAGTAAGCAGCATGCGGCTCATCCATCTCTCAGGAAACCCATCAGATGCTGGCAGACAAGAAGCAGCTCCACGTGGTGGAGTTCCGGCAGGAGCGCGGCCCGCTGCCCTTGGTGGTGGCGTCCCCCAAGGAGGGGCTTCGGACCCAACCGGAGCCCGAGGATGAGATCCCAGACACGCGTCTGCATTGGGCCGACGTGCGCGCCTCCCAGGGATTCAAAGGCTCCATCTGGTCGGGCGTCAAGCGCACCATCTGGTAGAACTGCAATTCATGGGAAACAGCTCCGGGATTTTTTTTGTATTTATTGTAGAATATGATGAGAATCACGATTACACATCACAAGCTGACGTTCTTCCTTGTCTATATCTGTTTGTGACGTATTAAAACAAAATAGGATTTGAAAATGAACTGGATCTCTTGGTTTGTTCTTAAATTCTGCCTCCTGCAAGTTCAGGCTCAACTTTGAGGGGTTCTTAATGTAAAAAATGACAGACTTCCTGTCTCAATTTTGGGCTTTGGTCCTTGAGACTTTCGTACATTCTTCGGCTAGTTTTCCATTTTTCGGGAGACCCCAAAATACCAACCTTTTCACCAGGTTACACTTGCTTGAAAAACATATTTTTCCAATGTTGGTGTAACCAGTATGAAAACCACACAGCACCCCAGGCTTGAAAAAAAAATGGCAAACATGTTTTGTTTTATTTATTTATTCTTTTGAGAATATGAAAGAGCAATAGAAAAGAAGCCACTGTCTAAAAAAAATGCTAGTTCAAGCTAACTAAGAAATGCTAATACTACGGTCATTGAAATGTTGGTCGTTTCGAGGATTGTTGTTTTTTCAAAAGTGTTTCCACCTCAGGGACGACAGGACGGCATGAATGAAGTAGAGCAGCGTGGCCATGAAGGCAAACACCTGCAACACACACGACACACAACAAGAACACATTAGACATTGAATAGAATCAATATTATGAAGTGTTCTTACCACAGCAGCGATGTCAATCTGGTAGATTCGGAGCGCTCCTGATTTCATGATAAAGGTGATGAAGGCTAAATTGACCCCTGCACTGAGGTAGAACAACGCAGCCAAAGCGTGATAAGCAAAATCCTAACACACACACACACACACAGGAAGTTCAATTACAGCATGGCCTGTTGCCTTATTTACTAATCAAGTGTCAATCAATGTCGTCATTCTCCAATCTACTTTCATTCTCGTCACTCTCTTGTCTTATTCACCTACATTTTTTTTAAATAATCGGTTATATATAATATTGTTCTAATCTCTGTCTTTTTAATGTCGATCCCATGATCGTTTTATTGTCAAAAATCTCATAATCCCATTTTCCCATCCGTGATCAATTCAGATTTCCGTCTCTTGATCTGCTCCCAATGATATTCCCGTTTTGGTCATTCTCCCCACCTTCTGATTCTGTTTTTTGTTCCCCCTTGCACATCATTTTTAAAAAAATAATAATTCTAATAATATAACAACAATATTAGGTCATATAGTAGCATCGTTAGTAATATCTCATGCTCATTTTCCTGCTTGTGGCCTTACAGCGGCGACCCACGCCGAGCCGTTCTTGTGACACCCGGCGATGAAGAGGACCACCCAGAGGAGGGTCATGAAGAAGCAGAAGACAGACACGAACATCACCCAGCCCAGAGGGTTGGCGGGCTCCACGTGAGTGGACGCCACCAGGATCCACACCAGCCCACCTGTCACCTGCACCCAACAACCACAAGGTCAAAACATAATTCAGGCTTTTTTTTTAAATGAATATCCTCACCCTCCTGCGAAAAAAAATATTTTTGTCCATTTTTAACATATTTCTGTTCAAAATCTGGCCGTATACACTACTCACAAAAAGTTAGGGATATTTGGCATGATGGGGATGACTCTTTAAACACCAGCTCTAACTGAAGCGGGTCATTGATTGGTCATTCAAGGATCCAACGCCTGAATTTTGCCGTTGAAGCTCCTCGTTCGAGAACGGCAACTCGTGCAAAAAGTCCAGAAATATTTAACAGTTGGACGTGTGCATTCAGAAGCTTCAAGAAGGTCACATGGAGTTCACCTGGAAAGGTTTGAAAGCTCATCCTACTGATATATAGATATTTTTTTAAATGTTTTTGAGTTTGTTCTACAACCTGCTCCTTGTACAAACAAAGTGAAATTTGAAATGTTAAAAAAAATGAAAACAAACTGACATGAGTTGAAAGCCTGATGCCACATGTGTCAATCCCTGGTCCTCGAGAGCCACTATCCTGCAATTTATTTTTATTTGTTTCATGTTTCCCTCCTCCAACACTCCTGATTCAAATGACCAGGGTCGTTATCAGGCAGACAAATATATACAGAAATCCCAAAGGGTTCACTTTTTACTTGCCTGAGCAAGAACTAATGCAGTAATAAAATCAGCGACGTGTTTATTTCGAAACATCTTTTCACGCAATTTGTGTATTCAGTCACAAAATTTCGCTCATAGAAACAATCCAAATTAAAGCATGTCTCATGGCAGGTTCCTCCGTTGAAATGATGTCGTCATAGGTGAAGGTCACTCACCAGTTCGGGCAGGTAGAACATATCCGGCACGGTCACGCATATTGCCAGTCCGCTGGGCAGACTTCCCATAGACTGAGTAGTGGTCGCCGCCATCCAAAAATCGTCGGGCGCTTTTCTTTGTCCCCGTCGGTGGGGACGAAAGGAGCAGCAAGCAGGTGGAAATGCCAGTGAGGCTAATTTAGCCGACAAACCTGTTCTGGTATTGTTGGTGTTTCCCACATCTCCTTACACGCCCTTTTTCTTTTTTTTTTCTTTCTGAGCTGAAATTTTGTGGCCTCGGGGCCTCGGTGGAGCCAGATGGAATATCGCCATTATTGTCTTCTTTGTTTGCGTTTTACACAGAGGACTACAATCTCAACGCCGCCGGCACTGTGTCAAACTGTCAGTCAGCGTATTCAACGAGGCAAGGTTGCGGCTGCTCAACAGAGGGCGCTATAGCCCACCACTCACTTGGAGCAGGTGCCCCAAATGTACGTTCAACGTACGTTATCACCCGCATCAATGTTTGTCAGCATACCCCAAAAAGGCTTCAGTATTCGGGCTAGAAACTACGGAGCCCCTAAGGTGGCATGGAAGAAAAAAAACAACTTTGTGTTCCCCGCTAAAATAGTGAGACAACGCAAACTTTAGTTTTTTTTAGTTTTTTTTTTTTTTTTTGCAAGCGGCATTTTTTTAATGCGCGTTTATGTACTTCCGGGTCATCTTGGCTAACTAGAATCTCATGCGCGGCTGATTGAGAGACGACACTACTTCGGGGAAGGAGAGAATTATGGAGGAGAACTTGGAAACCGTATTTAAGTTCAAGGACAGATGTAATGTCTTTGTATTTCAAGCCAATTTCAAAATAAAATTCCATTCAACTTTCCAACGGGTGAAAACGCTCCATGTTTGTTGTTTTCAGTTACCCGGAAGAGGACCCGAAAGTACATCAACGCGAGTTAACGCAAAGTTGTGTTTTTCCTCCCTGTCCCCTTAGCGCTCCATTAGAAACTAACACGTAAACATACAGTAAATCGGGGATGGAGATTACAATAATGGAAGGGGGAGCGCAAAATACATTAGAAAAAAACCCCAGCCATCAGCCTTTGGGGTCCACTGTAGTAGAGGAAACATCCCTCCATTTTGTAATCCATTTGTCCTCACAAGGGGTGCGGGGGTTCTGGAGCCTATCCCATCAGCAGCCCAGAGGAAATGTGTTTCTAATCATTTTTTGAAAATATATTTGTCAAAAGACTGATTGCCAGTTGCCCAACCATGCATTAAAACTGATATGATGTCAAAATGAACACTTTAATTCTTGGGACCAAACACTGAAAACACGTGCTGAAGCATCAATACAAACAATGTCTGTCTTTATATATTTGCAGTACAATAATATCGCCTTCCATCTATTGACATTTGGATAATGAAACATGGAATTTTTAACAGCTAAGTGGAGTCATAAATAGTCTGCAGACACTTTTCAAGTGTTTAGAATATTTTATTTCACATTGAAGATTTGTAAAGATATGCATCGAGTGGAATCATCCGGTATATACATAAAGTGAGCATTTTCAGACAAATAACAATCACGTGGGAACCTTCATCCATAAAAGATATATAAAAGTGATCCTTTCAAAAATAAAAAGTAGCATTAAAAAGCTTGAGGAAGTTTTACATTCTGGTTGTAAACACAAAAGAATGAATTAGGAGGCATTTTGTACATGTGTAGCAAAAGTTCACCAACATTGTCGACATTTAGTTTCATCATTTTTACTCACTTTTTATTTTAAAAAAATGGACACTTGGTCTGTATTGTAAAACAGAATGATCTTTAGTTACATTCACCGTGTTCTCTTGAATGACAATTTAGTAGACAATCATACATGACAAAAAATATTGTAACTCATACATGAAAACGGTGGACACGCTGCAATGAAAAAGTGAAATATTTGACAATTGGTTCGGGGGATTTGGTGTTTTTATTTTTATAACATTTGAAAATCATTCAAAAGTAATTGCAAGGTCATATTCAAGTTGTATCTGAATTGGATATTTATTTTTATTGTTTTGCATTTTATAAACAAAGCATTAAAAATGCTAAATTAAGCCCCCATTTCGAAGCAATTATGGCATAAAGATCTTTGTATATTTTTAATTTTTCAGCTAAATGTAAAGCATTGCCTCCTTTTTGCATTTAAGAGTGTTGATTTTTCTTCATTTGTATTATTTTTGAAAAAATACAGAAGTCCTACACAAAAGAATTATTTAACTTAGTACAGTGCGACTGTACACTGCTAAAAATGCAAAATATAAGCCAAATTTGGAGCATTTGAGGAATTTTTGGATATTCATTTTTTTTGTTGATGTCTGCATGTTGAAAAGAAAGAAAAATAATATTTTAATTATCTTTAAACTATAGAGTTGATTTCATAAACTGTATAAATATGACAGATGTGCAATGCTAAAAATGCTAAATCCCCAGATTGTTTTCAAGTTTTTTTCATCCTAATTTGTTTGTTTGTTTTTCTCATCCTTTTTTTCATTTAATAAAAACTTCCATATTTAAATTGTCCAAAAAATTTAAAATGACGACGACTTAAATTTTTATTTCCACAACAAACTTTTGTTGTAAAACGTTATTAGATTTTTGTGTTATAAAAGTGTGTGTGTGTGTGGGGGGGGGGGAAATGAAAAAAATTAATTATGCTTTTCGGATGCCAAATATTTTATAATGTAATAATATTTGCTTATTTGATTAGTAGGACCTCACACATGTGACATTTAGTTTGTTTACCGCTCATTCAGTCATGTGACTTTTGTAACTTGTTTGTCACAGCTTATATTTTAAAAATATATTAATAATAATAATAATAATAATAATGAAAGTATGAATAAGTGGTTCTGTGTTCAGGATGAGGCCAGTGACATTTTTGGGGTTCCCCTTTAGGCTCTCTGCCAGCGGATGGCGGAGAAGATGGCATGCAGGAAGTAGAGGAGCGTGGCCAAGTATGACATCACCTGGATGACATCACAGACGGATCAGCATCAGATCAGTACATAGCCAACGGAATCAAGAAAAAGAAAAAAAGGAGCTGGCCCTTTAAAAATATCTTGTCAACTTTAAAATTATTTACACATACCGAACTTCATTTACACATACATAAAGATGATACTGTATGTACATTGGTTCTCTACTTATTAAAAATTCTAATTAAAAACATGTTCAAATTGGTCTAATTTTGAGTTTATTAAAAAAGAAATAAAGGGACAAAATTGTACCCATTTTTTAAAGTGGTTGGGGATTCGGGTATAATATTACTTATACTATATTATTCTTGGCAAAATTTGATGCAAGCCTTATTCAAGAAAATTTCATTTTGTAATTAAAAATACATATATACTGTAAATATATACTTGACAAAATACGTAAGCTCATTTTTTTTCTAAAAAAAAAATCATAAATTTGCATTTGAACTCGAGGTTGTTGTGTATCCTTTGTAACCCTGTGACATTTTGCGCCAAAAATACCAAATTATACACAAAATATTCGCTTCCTTCAAAAAAATTGCAAAAAAATACATTTAAAAGTTGATTTAAGTACTAGGATTTAAAAAAAACAGGGAAAAAGTCATTTTCCCACAAATTAGCTTTTTTGTCCACCCCCACAGTTTGACATTCACAAATATGCTGATTTGAGGTGGCTTTCCCCATTATGGTCTCAAAAACTCACATATTTGCTGTTTTGTGCTCAGTCCGAAGTCATGTCTATAGTCAGGTCAAAGTCTTGCCGAATTATAAAAAACATCCTTTGCCGCCATCATGTGACACGTCGACGATTACTCGCAAGTCGCAGCACGACTCGTCCGTATAACATTTTCTTTATTGTGGCTGCAATTTAAAAATGTTTCACTTGTCACATGTGGGGCTCCGTAGACGTGTGTGTTTGCGTGACACCCACCACAGCGGCGATATCCAGCCTGTAGATCTTGAGGCCTTCTCGGATGAGGGGCACAAGCGACACAGTGCCGCCCGAGTTGATGGTGATTCCCCAGCCTTTCAGCACGGTGATATACGCCAAGATCACCGACGCGCTCAAGTAGAACACCACCGCCAAGAAATGGTAGAACGTATCCTGCGGCAAAAAGGGGGAATTGAAAACATAGCAGGAATTCCGAGATTCCACGACGGTTTTCAAGTTTTTTTCATCCTAATTTGTTTGTTTGTTTTTCTCATCCTTTTTTTCATTTAATAAAAACTTCCATATTTAAATTGTCCAAAAAATTTAAAATGACGACGACTTAAATTTTTATTTCCACAACAAACTTTTGTTGTAAAACGTTATTAGATTTTTGTGTTATAAAAGTGTGTGTGTGTGTGGGGGGGGGGGAAATGAAAAAAATTAATTATGCTTTTCGGATGCCAAATATTTTATAATGTAATAATATTTGCTTATTTGATTAGTAGGACCTCACACATGTGACATTTAGTTTGTTTACCGCTCATTCAGTCATGTGACTTTTGTAACTTGTTTGTCACAGCTTATATTTTAAAAATATATTAATAATAATAATAATAATAATAATGAAAGTATGAATAAGTGGTTCTGTGTTCAGGATGAGGCCAGTGACATTTTTGGGGTTCCCCTTTAGGCTCTCTGCCAGCGGATGGCGGAGAAGATGGCATGCAGGAAGTAGAGGAGCGTGGCCAAGTATGACATCACCTGGATGACATCACAGACGGATCAGCATCAGATCAGTACATAGCCAACGGAATCAAGAAAAAGAAAAAAAGGAGCTGGCCCTTTAAAAATATCTTGTCAACTTTAAAATTATTTACACATACCGAACTTCATTTACACATACATAAAGATGATACTGTATGTACATTGGTTCTCTACTTATTAAAAATTCTAATTAAAAACATGTTCAAATTGGTCTAATTTTGAGTTTATTAAAAAAGAAATAAAGGGACAAAATTGTACCCATTTTTTAAAGTGGTTGGGGATTCGGGTATAATATTACTTATACTATATTATTCTTGGCAAAATTTGATGCAAGCCTTATTCAAGAAAATTTCATTTTGTAATTAAAAATACATATATACTGTAAATATATACTTGACAAAATACGTAAGCTCATTTTTTTTCTAAAAAAAAAAAATCATAAATTTGCATTTGAACTCGAGGTTGTTGTGTATCCTTTGTAACCCTGTGACATTTTGCGCCAAAAATACCAAATTATACACAAAATATTCGCTTCCTTCAAAAAAATTGCAAAAAAATACATTTAAAAGTTGATTTAAGTACTAGGATTTAAAAAAAACAGGGAAAAAGTCATTTTCCCACAAATTAGCTTTTTTGTCCACCCCCACAGTTTGACATTCACAAATATGCTGATTTGAGGTGGCTTTCCCCATTATGGTCTCAAAAACTCACATATTTGCTGTTTTGTGCTCAGTCCGAAGTCATGTCTATAGTCAGGTCAAAGTCTTGTCGAATTAAAAAAAAAAATCCTTTGCCGCCATCGTGTGACACGTGGACGATTACTCGCAAGTCGCAGCACGACTCGTCCGTATAACATTTTCTTTATTGTGGCTGCAATTTAAAAATGTTTCACTTGTCACATGTGGGGCTCCGTAGACGTGTGTGTTTGCGTGACACCCACCACAGCGGCGATATCCAGCCTGTAGATCTTGAGGCCTTCTCGGATGAGGGGCACAAGCGACACAGTGCCGCCCGAGTTGATGGTGATTCCCCAGCCTTTCAGCACAGTGATATACGCCAAGATCACCGACGCGCTCAAGTAGAACACCACCGCCAAGAAATGGTAGAACGTATCCTGCGGCAAAAAGGGGGAATTGAAAACATAGCAGGAATTCCGAGATTCCACGACGGGTAATGGCACTTGAATCTTAGCCAATCAGCATTCACGGTGGGTGTGTCGTACGAGAGCTGGCCAGATGCTGCTCTGATTGGCTCCGCACAGGAAGAGGAAGAACCAAAGCGTGGTGAAGACGAAGCAAAAGACGGACACAAACATGACCCAACCCAACGGATGGTCCGGATACACGCGAGTGGACGCCACCAGGATCCACACCAGACCTCCAAACACCTGGCGAACAGGAACAAACAAAAAAAAAATCTGGGTTAGTTTGGGTGAGGTGGTAAGGCTTAGTATTTGGACCAAAATTTCTATTTTTATGCATATTTTTAATGTAAATAAAACTGAATACATACGCTAAGGTCAGGGAGTTTCGAAAGAAGGATGTAAGACGAAAACAATCATCATTGCCTTCAAAAGTGAAGAAAAGCTTTTACGAGACATTTTCAGGGGGCCTCGGGCAAATACCTGCGGTACGCCTAATAGCCAATCCGCATCTGTCTGTCCCCTACGTTTGTCTGTTATTTTTACACCTTATTATGTGTGAGAAGTGTTGCAAAACCGCCTGTTGAGTAAAAATGGGTACGATACATTTGAGACTGCCAATAAATGGACAGATGTATGCACTTATGGCACTAAGACCGTTGAAAAATAAGAGTTTGGGAAGAGTGTCTAACCAAAGTAGGGGTTAAGGGATTTGTGCTGGAGGGTGAGGATGTCAAAGTTAATTTTTTTTTTAGAAGCCAGTTGAGCCTGAAGTGGTGATTAAACAGCTCCTAGCACTTGTCGGCTTTGCCCTTTAAAGAAACCATAATGGCACTCAACTAGCATTCAAAAAGCAAACTTTCAAGCCTCAACGACCCCCCCCGCGCTCCTTTGACAAACATTCCCATTGAAAGAGACGTTAACGTGAACACATTTCACAGTGGTGAATATTTAACCTTACACTCCGTTCATTAAAGCATGAAAAACTTGATTTTTACCTTGAGAATAGAAAGCAACTATCGTTGGCATTATTAGTGCCACCTGGTCTAGTCATGTGACCACACACAATGGCCAATCAGTCTATGGGCCCATTTATCAGAGCAGAAAAGGGATGGTGACGAAGCAGCATGTGGCTCATGAGCTGCGTTCTGTGTTTCGAGTGAACAAGAGTACTTTTATGATCTACTGCATTGCACGTGTGTCCGCCCTCTATACAATTTCTCCCCTTATCCGGAATCTATAGCCAAGAGTTAATGAGTAAGTGTTGAAGTAGTTGTCGCGTTCTGCTTCATAAAGAAACACACATGCCGCAAAACTGAGCAAACAGTGCGGTATCTCTTCCGCTCTGTTCTTATTAACGGTATCGGTGACTTGCAATCGGCACCACACCCCAAATATTTCAAGCGGCCTCATGTGCTTTGCAAATATGAAATGTTCTCTTTGATCTCGGATTTCCACTGAAGGAATGTTCTTGGCTCTGAATTTGCTTCAGACACTCACTGGCCACTTCATGAGGCACACCTCCTCATGAGATCAGAATACATGCCAGAGCTGAATCAATGACTAGCTTAGCGTAGCTAACTCAGGCGAGAAAAAAAAAAAAACAGCCCTTTAGTTAGCTTACTCAGTTCGGGAGTTGGCAGTTAGCTAGTTAGCTCACCTAGCACTTTTAAAAATGTTTATTACAGTTATTAAAATGTGTTTAAGATTATTAAACACGCTATGATATTCCTTAGCGCCTGTTTTCATGCTCGCACAGTTCGCCAAACAAAAAGCGTATGTGCTTCAAGCTGTTAATTTGTCACTGCTCGAGGTTTGCTGTACTCACACAATTCAATAAAAATAAACACAGTATTTTTTTAAACCAAAATCATATACTGTAATTTCAACTAACAAAATTCTGTTAGCTTAATGCTAACGTAAAATGGGAAATGCCGTAGATGGGCTAACAGAACTCAGCATTAATCCCTGCCCATCCCATGCCCGCGACCTTTGTCAGGATAAGCGGATCAGATAATGGATGGATGGATGGATTACGTTAATAATAAAGATTCAAACACTCCTTGAAGACACACAGAGCGACAACGCATACAAACAGAGCATACAAAAATGGCACAGGCAAGCTGTATATACTTTCTGCCTTGCAAGTTGTGGCACGAAGTGGTACTACACTTACTGCGTGCATTTCTAAATTTGGACTTGTCTTGAAAATCTGCATTTTACTGTATATCACGACGAACCGTAATATCGCAGAGATGAACTGCTCTTTTTGTGATATTTTCGTTTGGTGGTGTGACATAACATTTGTCTAATGTCAAATATGTGGCTTGGTTCGCTAAAGCTTAGGAAATACTACACATAAATAAGCACGAGTCAGTATCGTTCTATCTATTGCGTCGAAATCCCTGCCGGCGAAAGCAAACATCTCCCGTCTGTCGCGCTCCGGTCACTTGCTGTTGGCAAACATGGGCCACATTTGTCCCAAAACCAGATCAGCAGGTTTACCAAGAACCGACCCCACCGGCCCACACCGAAAAAGGAGCTGAGAAGATGCCTGGTTTCAATTTACACCTCCCACAACCTGTTGGAATTTTTTTGGGGGGGGGGTTGAATCAAACTGATTTAATCTCTCCTTCTGCAACGCAAAAGAAAATGGCCTCCAATTGTTGTAAGAAGGAGGTTGATTTTGGGGGGGCCAAACAGGTCAAGAAGGATCTAAATCGTATAATAAAAGTATATTTTTATCCGAAACGTTACGAAATTTTGCGCTAGCTGTGTCTCCATTTTAAAAAATTGTATTTAATTAATTATTGATTATAATTAATTTTGTAACAATTGTGACAATATTTGTGGTTTGAAAAAGATTTACAAATGTGATGGATTTTTTAAAAAAATAAAAAAACAAAAATTGAATGAAACAGATGGAAATAGCTCTTCTCTCCAAAATTATGATTTTTTTTTTTTTTTAACAAAGAACAAAACAAAAAAACTGTTATATGTTGTATACTTTGCATCGGTCGCGATGCTCAATATTAGCATTCAGTGTAGGTTCCCCCCAAAATGCTTTTCAGGCCAAAAATATCGCCCATATTAAAGCCTCTCACGCAAAACAAGTACATCTTTTCCTACATTTATCCTGCTCAAGAACAGAACCACGATTTAGGTGACCTGACGAGTTTGCTTTTGGTTTGTTCAGTCAAATGTTTTGTTTGTCAGCGTTACAACGTGACGATGAGCCAAAAAGTCAACAGCAGCTTGCTCAAGTTTGCAGCCTTTTTTCGATGTTACACAGCACATATGAACATTTTGATGTTTCTTCGCATGTGTTTTGTTGTTGCTATGGTGACTGACTGGCCTCAGCTGTCAGTGTACTAGTTGCCATGGTGCCAGGCATATTGCGTGGGTTAAAAAAAAAAAAAAAAGAACAGGAAAAAAATTAATACGTGATCATCAAATCATTAAAATAACAGAAAATTCATAAGAAAATACAAAAAAAACAATTGAAAATAAAATAAGTACAAAAAACAAAATGTGAATGGAAAATTACAAATGAAATATAATTTATAAACTCCAAAAGTACTTTTTTGAAATAAAAAGTAATAAAACAATATAAAAAAGTATAATTCGAAAATATTTTTTTTAAGTTGTTGAAAATAAATCATGCCTAATTATTCTTAAATAAAAGATAAATACAAATACAATCAAAAACTTTAAATGAAAATGATTCAAAGTATTGAAACTAAGAAATAATTTGAACTATACAAGATCATATTTTTTACATTTTAAAATGGAAAAAAACAACAGATAATTTCACAAAAAACCCAATAGACAGTAAAAGATCATTCTAAAACAATTCTAAAAATTACCTTCAATTTTGTTATCTAAAAAAAGCATGACAAAATAACAATGAAAGAAAATATTAAAGTATAGAAAAAAGAAAACAAAGTCATATTCAAAGATCAAAAAGTAAAGCAAATAAAACTTTTGATATACAAATAAATTGTAACTAAAATGGTAAGTAAAAAAGAATTAAATAATAAATAACACGTAAAATGTATTTGAAATAGAAAAAAAACACAATTATCAGATTGCTAACAAGATTATCACAAAAGAAAATCAAAGAAAATCAAAGAAAATAAGTTACGCTTTGAAAAAAAAATACTAGAAAATATCAGAGTTAAGAAAAAAAAATTAAATCAATAAAGAAACGAGCATTTTGGCACCCAGTTTTCCAAGATGAACATTCACTTCCTCGAAGGGATTAGTCAGTCTCATCTGACCACAACACATTGACACTCGCCCCTCATTGGAGAGCAAAACCAAGACAAGTTTACACAGCAAACCACAAGCGAAGTCAGAACGAGAAACACCACACACGCGGCGCAGCTTCACTCTCCACATCTCAAGTCACAAAAAAAAAAAAAAAAAAAAAAAAAAAAAAAAACGACTCACAAACTCCGGGATGAAGAACAAGTCGGGGATGCTGGTGAAGATCCTGCCGCCGGTGGGCAGAACATCTGCCGAGGTGGTGGAAGCCATAATCCCAAACACAATGCCTCAATGTGTATGTAAATGTGTATTTGTATGTGTGGCCGCGGAATGAGATGTGTGACTGCTTTTAATATGCTTTTTACGTAAAGGCCGCCTCCCGCACCTCCTCCTCCGCCACCTGCCCTCCGCCTACCATCCATGTGTCTTCATGTGTGTGTGTGTGTGTGTGTGTGTGTGTGTGTGTGTGTGTGTGTGTGTGTGTGTGTGTGTGTGTGTTTGGAGAAGTTGCCTATAGAAGGCAAAGTGGCTGTTTACATACATACATAAAAAGTGATTGTGAGGCAAATTGTGCATGTGGGACATGAAAAATAGATGCAAGGTGTTCAGCTGCGCGGAAGAAAATAAAAGCACGGAAAATGATCGCTGCCATTGGCTGGCAACCAGTTCAGGACTTACCCCGCCTACTGCCTGAAGTCAGCTAAGATAGGCTCTCGCACACCCGCGACTCTCGCGAGGCAGTTGATGGATGGCTGAAAATGATAGTTGAATGTGCCAACATAAAAGCAGTCCCAGTCAAAATTTACTGTCAAACTAAACGAAGAGTATCACACGTGGTGTGTTTCACCAGTCTGCTAGCTTAATGCTAACGGACGATGCAAAACGCCTTAAACAGGCTCACAGAACAAGCATAAATTTTGTGGTCATTATAAAATCAACTTTAAAACACTTATAATTAAACACACGTGCGGGTGGCAAATGCAAACAGCATACAAAAATATCCACCGGCATATATTCTTCATCGTCTGTGAAGAACGATTAATATGACTTCATCTTGTATGCAATGGTCCTCTTCTGTTTCATCGTGAAAGCTCATGTGTAGTAGATCTGAATGTTTATAGCGCCCCCTGTGGCCACGCCACGCACATGATAACAAGTACCAGCACAATGTTTTTTAAAGTGTAAGACTGTGGAGTGCTACATTTCGTACAAAAGAATAAAAAAATAAAATTAAAAAAAAGGAAAGCACAAGTGAATGATGTGGACATTTTGACTATTTCCTGTCATATGCCCGCGTACTTTTACCCATGCGGTTGAAACCAATCTTATCATGCGTGGCTACTTTCTGACACATGTCACAATACTTAGTTTAACATGTACTTTTATTTTGTCACATTCGACGATTTCCTGCAACTTGTCCCAATAATTATGCCCATGTTGATCAAGACATGCAAAGCGTCCCTCATGTGCACCCGAAAGGCTTTTGTTGATGATGCGGCTGGTTGGAAACTGTCGTCATGGTAACCACCTACACTATGTATGGATGGACGACTGCCAGGAGACACACAAACACACACACACACTTTCACACGAATTAAACATAAAACACTCAACTGATCCATTGATTGATTTTGTCACATTCAAGACACGTCTTAATGTTTTTTTTTTTAAATCAATGATTTTTTTCGTATTGTATGCATTGGGTTTATTTTTCAATCTAGTTTAACCTGTAATTTAACATACACACAAAAAATGACCAAAACGGTTTTTTTCAATGAAAATTATGTTTTTGTCGTACAAAATATAATTCTGATATTTTAGTCAAAATCACAGAAAAAATGTGATTTATTGAGTAAAAAATGTAAACAACTTGTTAGGAAGGGGGAAAAAAAATCTACCAAAATAATTTCATTTGTATAAACGTGGATGAGAAAAAGTGATGATATTTTGGGTCTGAGGTTGAAGTTTTCTGTTAGTCTAATTTCAATTTCTCCAAAAAACAAGCGGTCGTAGGAAAGGGCGACGTCATCTTTTGGCGTCTCGTCTTTCTAATCTTCCATAAACGCTCACTTCCTGTTGGACCGGCTTCAACCTTTTTGTGAGTCTCCTAATCACCAATTTCCTGCTTGTGTTTGTGATTTGTTTTTCTTTTCAATTGACTTGAGTAAATCGACAAAAGTATTAGGATACTTGACCGTTAACAAAAAAAACAAAAAACAAAAAAAGCAAAAAAGTAAAAAATAATAATAATAATTAAAAAAAAAAAAAGATGATTCCCGATCGTTTTCAAATTGTTCTTCCACACCAAACCCATCCAAACACAAAAGGGATAATCGGAGTTAAATCTGTGCTATTGTTGTCTGGGGTTGTATTGGCGAGACCTATGAGGGTAAAAACCACAGAAGAAGAACACACCTGGGGGATGGCAGTGGAATGTGGAAATACAGGATCGCCTCTATTATTTGCCAGCAAACACAAGTACTCGTGTGTATGTGTGTTTTTGTGTGTGTGTGTGTGTGTGTGTGTGTGTGTGTGTGTGTGTGTGTGTGTGTGTGTGTGTGTGTGTGTGTGTCGGCGGGGGGCGTGAATAATTTGTTTACACACCAGCACTATGTCAATTTTGTCGAGAGAATTGAATAAATAGAAAAAAAAACTTTTTGTATAGCCAAGGGCTTTTGATGTGGCTCTACCACCAAAACCAAATAAAACGGAATAAAAAGAAATATTTACTGACAGCTTCTTGTAACACGTTTAGGAAGAAACGCTGCAATATTCAAATAATCGTTAATTGCTAAGATCTTTCTGGCTTTATATGCAGTATATTAAAACAATTTTGCACAGACGGGTAGTTGTAAGCTATATTAGTAAATAGGATGTTTGTATGCATAATCATCATCATCATCATATGGGGGCCATCATCGATGTGTTTTTGGAGGCCCGTTGTTTCCTCCTGGATTGTGCCCATGACACACACACACACACACACACACACACACACACACACACACACACACACACACACACACACACACACACACACACATATACTGGAATGTCTTATGAAGGCATTCCAATGGACTGACTGACTGCATGTTTTTTTTCATAGCCAACTATAAAAAGACTGCACGCTTCCTCTAATAATTAACGCACAACACTCCTTTAATCTAATACGCAGTGACTCCACACTACACACAGACGCAGTGATGTTGACCTAAGGGGTGGTGGCAAAGGGTTGCAGCTCAGTGAGCATTTCATGGGTATGTAAAGAGAAATGTGTTGCCGTATAGCCGCACCCACATAGCAGGTGAGCACATCCATCCATCCACCCGTTTTCCCATCTGCTTTATCCTCACAAGTGTCGCGGGGGGTGTTGATGAGTATACAGCTGTCTTCGGACAGTAGGCGGAGGACACCCTGAACCAGTCGCCAGCCAATGGCAGGGCACAGAGGGACAAACAACCATTCGCGCTCACACTCGCACCTCGGGAATATGCCGAGTGTTCCATGTATGTTTTTGGAATGTGGGAGGAAACCGGAGTGCCCGGAGAAAACCCACACAGGCATGAGGAGAACATGCAAACTTCACATGGGGCGTCCAGAGCTGGAATCGAACCCTGCACCTCTGCACTGTGAGGTCGGCATGCTAACCACTCAAGCACCGGGCCGCCCGCAGGTGAGCAAAATGACTTGAGATTGAATGATGAGGACATGCTAGGATCTGCACGCATGCTATGATGTCATCAGTTGGAATCGAACCCTGCACCTCTGCACTGTGAGGTAAACATGCTAACCACTCAAGCACCGGGCCGCCCGCGGGTGAGCAAAATGACTTGAGATTGAATGAGGACATGCGAGGATCTGCACGCATGCTATGATGTCATCACTTAATCATACTCAAAGCATTCAAATAGTCTATTTTTATATAACTGTACATGTTTGAATTAAATAAATTCAAATAAATCAAAGGGCTTTTTGTTTTAGTGTAATAAATTATGAATCGTTCATTCTTGATGTGGTTTTAAATGTTCAACAATCCCCCTCCAAAAATCTAATGATTCACAAGACATTTTGGAGTAAAAAAAATATTTTCCTGGTGTCACACAGTTTACATTGGAATAAAAACATTGTAAAAATATTATGTGCTTTTAAAAAAAAACAAAAAAATCATTTCAACAGGTCCATAAATAAAGGTTTGGGATTTGTGGCATTCTCTTTTGTTCTAGTGCGCCACCCGCAGGAGGTCAAAAGTCATCTCGGTGATGTCAAAGGCCAGGTGAGTGTGGGCTGGGTTGGCCAGCATCTCTAAGCTTCCTGATTGGCCGCGGGCTCGTTTCAGCGCCTCCCGCGTGGATACGATGAGGCTGGACCGCTGCTCGTCTGAGGTGGGATCGGCCCAGCGGTGAGGCGGGAAAGAAGACGAGTGCAGCAGGAAGGAAGCCGACCACTGGAACGCCTTGGCGAACTCCTGTTTCACCTGTGCCTCATCTCGCTGCGCACACACAGTAACACATGCACACAGATGGCAACATTTTAAGTCGGTAGTTGAGCTCTCCCTGTAGGTGAAAACAAGTACTACACACCTTCTGTGACCTTTTCATGTTGTTTTCTGCATCCATCCAGGCACTCTGAAAAACGTTTTAAAAGGGAATTTTGCATGTCTATATGTATATATATATATATTTTTTTCTTCATGCTGTAAAAAAGGGAGCTCTCAACGAGCCCCCCTTTAAAAAAATATGCAGACTTTAAAAAGTTATTTTGAGAACAAGACAAATGCAGCCTTTAACACTGCTCCTCTAATTCTCAACATTTTAGAAATAATAATCATGAAATGGCGAGTTGTGTGTTTCTCGGTATACACACTCTGAGGGCATCCAGCAGGTCAGGCTGGTCCATGAGGATCGGGAAGATGGCAAGCACGGGACTGAATATCAAATCTGAACAAAACGAATTCGAGGAGTGACACTTACTTGCGGGAAACAAAGATTATGTTGTGTGTGTGTGTGTGTGTGTGTTACCTGCGTTCTGCATGGTGGGCCGGTCCACCAGCAGCGTATCAGCCAGCAGCTGTCTGTACATGGCCAACAAGGGGACGCAGCTCAGACAGTGCAGTAGGGTGTCGGGGAGGAGGCTTGAGAGGGAAAAGACACTCTCTGTTATGATGCATGTACGCACGCGCGCGCGCACACACACGCACGCGCGCACACGCACACACACACACACACACACACACACACACACACACACACACACACACACACACACGCACACAGACACACACACTTTCTCACCTGAGTTGTCTCTTGATGCGACTGTTGGGCGTCTTGAACTTGACGATGAGTTTGGACAGCCGCCGCGCTTTGAGCATCTGCTGGAATACGCCGGCCCCAGCTGGAAACAAGAAGAGAGGCGCTAATCGCTAAAGACTTTTTGTGTGTGTGTGTGTGTGTGTGTGTGTGTGTGTGAGAGAGAGTCATATTAATAATTGCGAGGAGACTTGTCAGGTTTGCGTGTGTCTCTCACATGATCGAGCGGGCGACCCCTCCATGTCGACGTCCTTCTCATAAGGAGTGCCGCCGCTCACCGAGATCTCGTATGTCCTACGTGCGGGACGACGGAAAGAGGCCGTTCATGCTTTTGGAAGCAGAAGTCATCAATTTATTTCTCTTTTCGTGTCAAAATTCAACAAGTTAATGGTACTCATGAAGGTTGCCAATACCAGACACGTATACTTGAAGAGGTGAGACATTGCCCAAGTCTTCCATGCCAGTAGGGGGTGCCACAACGCTACTGTTTGACACACCAGTGACTTACCGTGTGCATCAGAAAGACAGAAAAGTCTTTTTCAGAATTGTGTGAATTGTTTTACGGATCATAAGTACTTATGGTAGCGGTACGGGGTTTTTGTGCCCCGGAGGCGGGGGGGGGGGGGGGGATACTCATCCTGGTATCAGTCTGAAAAAGAGTGGTATTGAACTGCCCTAAGTTTTGATCCATTTTGGTAGGAAAGAAAGCCCTTTTTCTTGTCCCCAATGCACAAATTGAACTGTAAAAGGCACAGCTGAATGAATTTGGTGCAGGATACAAAGATGCCCACGGTGTGTGAGACTGTGAGGGTACACACATACCTGTTTGGGAGCTGATTTCCAGAGGCGTCACTCAGTTTGAGGAAAGCCCAACCGCAGCTCAGGTCTCCCCGCTCACCAGTGGACTAAAAACGCAGAAAAGACCACACGTTTCAAAGACCGCTTGGCTCAGTTCCTTCAATTCCAACTCTTGCGTTCTTGTTATTACGTTGCGGATGAAGGTAACGCCGAGCTCAAAGAGGATACCGAGGTCGGGGCTGTCGGCGTTGCAGCGCAGGAAGCAGTCTCCGTCCAGCAGGGCAGGCAGGACGCCAGTTGTCTGCGACAAAGATATCACCCGCGTCAGTCTTAACGGGGAGCCTTCTGTGATCAATGGGAGGCGAGGTTGGGGGACTGGGGGGCAGTGGGTCTGCGGTGGCGCGCTCATACCCGCGGGGAGAAGAGCCAGGTCCTGGGGTTCTTGGGGTTGTAGCTGGCCCTCACCGTGTGGATGTTACTCAGCACCTAAAGTGTAACAAAGGCAGCGTTTTGTGTTTTGTTCAACGTTTCATTATGGTGTTAATCATCTGTCCAGTGTACATGTTTTCAACTGGATAGCAATCGGATAAAATCACTCGACCGTGTGACCACGTGAAGCCAAAATGACAGACTTCCCTGGGTGTTTTCGGACATTGATCCATGAGATTTATTTGTGAGTCTAATCATGATAGACATGTCTGTCAAATTTCATGTTGCTAAGTGAAACAATTCTTGTCGGGCCCTAGCAATGTCTAAAATTATTCTAGAATGGCCGCTTCAAACCTAAATGGCCTCCTTCCCGTGTCTTGTAGTGCATGGGCGCTTAAGACTTTTTTTGTGGGTCTACTCATGATTGAAAGGCTTAATAAATTTCACATGGTCAACTAAGTGAAACTGCCTTCAGAGGTTGAATTTGAAAAGTATTCCATTCGGAGAAATGACGGCTTCAAAGCAAAACGGTTGACTCGCTCTGTCTTTTCTGGAATGGCTTTTTTAAGGATTTACTCATTATGGACAAGCAAACCAAATTCCATGTTGCTGAGTGAAACTTCCTTTTGGAGGGGCTGCATTTTTTTTTTTTTTAATTTCCAGCGGACATTACCAAGCCAATGAGTGTTGCTGCGATAGTGATGCATGCAATCACATCCGATGATGAATCAATTTTGACAAAAAAGCCAGATCATGAATGAAATATTGTCGACATACCCGAGTCCCGTCAAATGCGCAGAGGCGAATGTGTCTGCTGAGGACCTGGACGCCGACCCCGGGCGTGGGGATCCTCTTACAGCTCCACAGGGTGAAACAAACGCACGTCCGAGGGTGTCGTGGCCGCACCTGCGTGGTGGGAGGAGGAGAGAGTGACGAGACGTTCTGTGGTCACGTTACTCATAGAAATATTGTATGTCGTCACAGGCCAAAAAAAAAAAAAAGAGAGAGAGATAACAGTTCTACATTTTCTCACCCTGCCATTGTCGGGATCCAAGAAGAGGTCGCTGAAGGAGAGTTGTGATTGGCTGAGCTCCGGCTGCATGAAATGGCTTCCTCTGTATTTGGCACCTAAAACACAATGTCAGTAATATGCATTTCGCTGTACGTTGACATGCATCTGATGGTGCTTTCACTCAAATTTTAGGCACATGAAATTTTTATTATACTCTTACATGTATGTACTAATCCTAAAGTAACAATCCATTATCACCATTTTTTTTAACCAGCTGCTGCAAAGTTGGACTTTTTAACATTTGCTACAGTCATATACTCAAGAGGAGTTAGCGGTGCGGTTAGCAGTCCTGTTTTTAACTGCGACAAGATGAAACCGACCTTCGTCCACTAGCAGTTTACTGAGAGTGGACGGTCTGAACCCGGAAGGGATGGCGCCCAATGCAGAGAGGACGTCCGTCGCGTCAATCTGTCACGCAAACATAGATGATGTGGAAACCTAAGCAAATATTCCGCATCTGTTTTGTTTGAGAATATGAGCTCGTACCTCAGTGAGAGCTTTTCTGAAAGTGGACCAGTTGGAAGGAGGAGTGTAACTGTGGAAGAATAAGTCGGTTTTCAATAAATGAATAAAAGACCGTTTGAGAAAAAGAAATTCCAAATCTAACCTCTGATTCTCTCCTTCTTCGTTCTCCTGCTCGTCGGAATCCTCCTGCTCCTCTTCAGCCTCGTCGGAGTCTTCATCTTCTTCATCCTTGCGCTCGTCGCTGAGGACGGAACCAATCTGTGAAGAGGAAAAGTGTTACTGTGCTGTATGTCGATGATGTAGACACTGACCGTGTCTTGTGCGGTTGTGTCTAATATTTTGGATGGCGAGTGCGGACCTTCAGGTATGTTCTCGGCACCACTCCTTTGTCGCCTTTGGCATTCTCAGCCAGCCACCAGCCGTCGCTCGTCTTCTTGATGATTTTCAACGTGTCGCCCCGCTGTAGCAGTAGAGAAACAGTATTGTTAAAGTCGTGAAATTATATTTTGGTACTTTTCCGGGAGATTGTGGTATTTTTATTTTTTTTTTGCCTATTTTCTCTGCAATATTTGTGTAATTGTATCTATTTTATATTTGTTGCTGAGCTGATTTATGAAATGTATTGTATTTTTTACTCAAGTACTTCTGTATTTTGTTTCTACTGTCTTTGTATTTATCCATTGTACTTTTTGTTTTTACATGGTAATTAATCCAATTGTTCGACTGTGTCTTAAGCTTTATCACTATTTTTAATTGCGTTTTTGTTTTATTCAGCATGTTTTTCTTTTCTTTATTCTATTTTTCTAATAATTGTATACTCTCTGATATGTTTTATTTACAGTAATATCTGTGTATTATTTCAAGTATTTGTCAAATGTTTGTATCATATATTGTGATATTGTTGACAGTATTCCTGCAGTTTTTTTTCCCCTAGATATACAAAATGCATTCACTACTTTGACACGTTACAAATTCGGGCAGTTATATTTTTTATCAATTTCTCACATTATTATATCGTGGACATTTTTGAAGGTTTTTCTAATACATGTCGTTTTTAAATTGTGATTTTTTTTTTAAACAAAAATACTTTTTTTCTGTAATTTTTGTCTTCTAAAATGTCTTTGCCAATCGTTTTTTTTTCTCAAGAGACTGGAGAAATTTTTCCAGAAAACATCGCCTGAACTCCACTTTTGGTGCTTTCAAGGTTCCACTGTCATTAAATATAATTAAAAAAAACATGATTTGATGTGCTCTACAACACTTTATTAAAAATACTGTAGGGATTAGAAAGAAAGAGTTGCTTTATTTTAAAAATAAGAATTGTATCAATGAGCTCTATAAAGATTAAATGACTAAGTTGGAAGTCACTATAAGTATGTACCAGTTTGGAACCAGTTTCAAACCCCAATATAAACACATCACATCACCTGAACAGTCAAATCTCCTTCCTGGTCGCCTTTGAAATCACTGAGCACCGTGTAGATACAAGGTTCCGATTGCGGCGGTGCAGTTGATGCTTGACTCTCGTCTTTGGGGCTGTCGACCTTATCGGCGGTGTCTTCATCGCTATCGTCCTCATCACTGTCTTCAGCTCCATCCTCGACATCTTCCTTCTGGGCATCACTGTGGATGAAAATTTGGGTCATTTTATCGACGTTGTGAGATGGAGTGAGTAAAGCTACAGACCCTGACGGTGGCTCCGTGCTGGGTCCCGGTGGTGAGAGCCGCACGGAGACTTTGTTCAGCTGCTCCAGGACGTTATGCAGTCGTCCTTGCTCCTCTAGTTTCCTCTGGTCGTAGTTGCCCACAGGAGCAATCTCATCGGCCTACAACGTACACCAATTGTTGACTTTTAATATCCCATGACAAAGCAACCTCAGTGCACATCAGAAAAAATGTCACCTTGGTCAGTTTTGTCAGATTCTTCAGTGTTTTCTCTGCAGAAATCTGAAGTTCTTGGCATCTGTTTAAAATGTGACACTTTTAGACACAGGACACGTAGAAAAATAACAATTTTTAGAATTAATGGTCTTGAAAAGGTGTGTAGTTCACCTCCTAAAGGACTCTTCTTTGGTTTCCACTTCACCCTTAACATCTTTCAACAGACTCTCCAGCTAGAAGCAAAGAATACACATGAATCGTCTACACATATAAAGACAATGTGTCATTTGAACAAGTATAATAAAAATATATGCAACACTTAGCTTTTAACTGCCTACAGGTTGTATTAATGCCACATTATCCTTCGAAGTGTTTAGTTGCTAAAGCTAGCTTGTTTCTGACATGTTTGGAGACACCACCCTCGACTTGAACGTCATAAAAGTGAGCGCTATCTATGACAAACCTGCACCCTCATGTCGTCCACCTCTCTGTGGATCTGCTGCAGCGGTCCTTTCCCCTTGGACGGCATCTAATCACCCCTTTAAGCCATTATCGTTTCAATTTCTCAACGCTAACTCGCCGAGTAAGCTAAGGAGCTAACCAGCTGCGATGAGACGCCGGGCTCCCATTGGTCCGCCGGTCGCTGAGCAGCCGGGGTCTACTTCCGTTAGAGTCGCTCCGCCTTCAAAACGAAATGGTAAACGTTCCTAATGTTTTCGAGCACTTTCGCTGGTCTACGGTTATTTTCGCGTGTAAATGTACATTTAATATTTGGACACAAATAACCAAACATATAAAGCAATAAATGAATAAGGTAACGCTCCGATGACTTTCACTGGGCGTTTCGTGTTTCCATAACGGCTCGTTATCAATTTTCAAACGCTCCGAACATAAAATAATTCACTCAAATAAAATGTAAAACAATTGTAATCCAATATATGTGTATTCGTTTTCTGCTTCTTATCCATTTATTAAGTGCAATGACTTTTGGGTGGTTTCAAACTCCAAGGAGTCTCGTAGTATTTCGGGCAACGATTTGACGATTATTGATTGGCTCGCCGGTCGCTCAGCAACCGAGTTCCGTTTCCGTGTTAGCTTCTTGTAAAAAACGAAATAAGCGCTCTTACATTCGGGTGACAAAGAATAACCAAAATGAGTAGTCATACAAAAAATATAATTTTAAGTCAAGCCACGAGGTGTACTATTGCTCAGCAATCACCACATTCGACAACACTTTGCCCCCTAATCTCGTATTAGAAATTAGTCATTTAAAATCCCCACGATTTTTGTAGACATTGAACGCAACAAACACGTTTCACAAGCTTCTGTTTAGCATTATGTCATTCTGGTGTCATGGCGGCCCCCGTGGCCCTCGTTCAAGGTGCCAGCCGGGGACTGGGTCTGCAGTTTTGCAAACATATTTTAAAAAACAAACTCCCGGCCAGTGTCATAGCGACGTGTCGGAACCCAGAAGGGGCCGCGGAGCTGCAGGGGCTGGTTGGACAACACCCCGACCGTATGACGGTACTTCAGCTGGACGTGAATCGCGAGGAGGAGATCCGGGAGGCAGCCGAGCGGGTGAAGGAGAGGTTCGGGCGGCTTGATTTGATGGTCAACTCGTCGGCTTTGCTTCACCCCTCCGGAAAAGGAGAGACCAGTCTGAGAGATGTTTCTGCACACGTATGGCATTGACTTGAGCATGTAAACAGTAGCGTCAAACTCCATTGACAGAAACTCAAACTTTCCTGACATCATCTATACTGTACTTGACATTTAGTCCTGAATGAATACTGTACTGATTTTCCATCACCATTTACATGTTACTCCTCAAACTATGCATTGCTATCGCATTATTTTTCTTCATGTTTTTCTGCCTTCAGGGCATAATAGCCACCTTGACCACCAACACGATGGGTCCGCTGGTGATGGCCAAGTACTTTGCTCCCCTCCTGCAGAAGGGCAACGGTGGCTTCGGTCGACAGCCGATTGACAAGGCCAAGCAGCACAGCGGCATCATCGTCAACATCACAGCCAAAGTTGGCTCAATTGGCGACAACGGTAAAGTTTTGAAACAATTTTCGGTGTTATAAAAGTGTAACCCAAGACTTTTTCGGACTCATTTAGAGGTTCCTCTTTTTCCTGTATATTCAAAGCTTGATTGTATTTGAATGCACTTTATGTATATTGTTTACACTGAAGGTCTTGGAGGCTGGTACAGCTACAGAATGTCTAAAGCGGCTCTAAACATGGCCACAAAAAATCTTTCTATCGAGCTGGGCCGCAGTCGACCCAAGGTAATTTACTCTTACTTGCATTTACATCAATAAAATAACAATGGACGACCAGATGATTCGCTCATTGGGTTTTTTTTCTCCCCAGGTGCTCTGTGTTTCCTTGCATCCAGGAACATTAGACTCAGATTTGTCAAGACCGTATCACAGGAATGTACCTGAGGGGAAACTGTTCAGCACAGAACGCTCTGTGGGGTACCTCATGGGCATTGTCGAAGCGCTGGATGTGGAAAAGACGGGTAAAGCCTACAGCTGGGATGGTACTCAACTGCCTTGGTAGCAAAACAAATGAAGGAAGGTTTATGAAAGAGGACACTTCACATTTTAATCAAACAAATGGTGTGATGGGATTCTGATGTATGTACTGTAAAGTTGTTCTCTTAAATTTACATCCCTTAGGAGAATGTGGGAAATAATGACAAATTTCCGGAAAATATGACGGGCTCATTATTTTTTTGAATGATAGTGCTATTCTGAAATGCCTTAAAATTTAAATAAATTCCATTAAGATAAATGAGATTTGCCTGACCAAAAATTTGTTTTTTGAATTTTAAATGATATGCAGGACAAACACAGTACCTCAGTAATATTACAATTTTGAGTGAGTTGATTTTTGTGTGAGCACTTAATGTCGGTTACTTGTTCAGAAGTTTTGTGCCATCCTTGATTGGTCATATTTTTTTTTTGCAAGGTTGCCCTTTGCACCGGAAAAAAATAACAGTAGTGTGTGGTTATTTTGTTTGCTTCAGACCCTTTGTTGTTGGGTTTGGAGAATGGATATTTTATGCATGCAGTGAAAAATGTATGGTCAAAAATAAAATGGTCAATTTTGACGTATTTTGTTCATATTCCAAATATAATTTTTTTTGGTAATACATCTGGATAGGATGTGCGTAGTCCTATGTGCCCCCCCCCTCGAATTTAAGTTGCCCATCCCGATACAGTATAGTACAGCCTGTCCTATGTGTGTCTTACTTCAACCCAACACCAGATGGTGAAAAGGTGCCTTGTTAAAAACTCGGCTCCTGTTTAAGAATGCAAATCTACAATAGGGCGAGCAAAAAAACAATAATTGCTCCTTTCCATCCAATTCCATAACCGATGCAGTTTTATTTGCACGATACACTTACACGCGCAAAAATGAGCGATCATTGCTTTTTTTAAACGCGGCAAATCTTCGCTCAGGTCACTTGCGATTGCCATTTTTTTTCTTAGATCCGTGCGTCTTTTCTGCATTGTGCTTGGCATTCTTGCATTGAGCCGATCGATGTCTAATTTAGCCCTGGCATGCGAGAACAGCAACATTTCTCGACTGCGTGTTGACAGGCGGCTTTGTGCACATCATTCGGGTATGTAGAGGGGAGGGGTGCGCTGCACGCTGCACGGGGAATGACAGCGGCTCTTATAAAAATAAAGCCCGCCGCAGCTGCACACTCCATGCCGGCCTGTCTGCCTGCTGGCTTGCGTGAGCAAATTCGCCTCCGTTGAAAAAGTGGATCGGATGAGCCAGAGTTGACTCGTGTGTATGTTTTGGAATTAAAAAACGGTCCAAGGAGGTGAACGGGTTTTTCGCGGACTCGCTGGGTGACGTCGAAGACGACGCGGAGGTCGGTCGGTTCTCGTCGTCTACTAATGTAGGGAAATGACCGCGAGTGACCTCGAAGCGACTGCTGGCTTGGTTTAGCAACAGTCAGTGTCGCCAGTGGGTTTATCTTCAAAAGATTGCACTCGCGATAAAATACGTTCGACCCGCCACGAGGGGGTTCGGTTCGGCTCATTTGCGAGGACGGCGCGGTTGTTAGTTCGGAGCTACCGTGCACTGGCTAACGCTAATTAGCTCTCGTGTTAGTTTCGCCCCAGAGTTGCTAAACCAAAGCTAGGCTACTTTAGCTTTTGCTGCTAGCTTCCCGGCACCCGTAGATGTTACAGCGAGACTAGACCCATTCCTACCCAGTACTGTATCTGGCGGCTCGCTTCCCATTGTCGAAGCTAAGGTAGGGTAGCCCTAGCTGCTGCTATGGATAAAGCAAAGTCAATGGTGGACAAAAAGGGGACGACATCGGGACTCTTCCGCGTCAACAAAAGCCCGAGTCAGAGGAGCTACAACGGGCACATCAACGGGTGCGTGGGCGCGCTCGCTTCGGCCAGCAGCAGCGGCGGCAACCAGTACGAGACCAACACTCGCCACATGCACCGAGGGGACAATGTGGAATGCAACGGCTCGCCGGCAAAGAAGAGCAGGCTACGGAGGAGGACCGAGTCTACGAGGCGGCACAGACCACGTAAGTGAGGGCCACACTTTAGGAGGGAATATTTAGGAATTTTATCCAACAACGCCGCAGCATTTTGACATTCATTTTAGCTAAAGTAACTAAAGACTGAATAAGCGTGTTGTTGTAAAATATTCATGGTTTTGCTTGCCTCATACTCTCATCCTGATGGTTTGTAGTGAATCGGTGTGGCTTTCTCGCCTTTTATATACGTTTGCTGTGTTGGTCGCCTTCTGATTGGTCGACACCCGGCGGTGGAAAAGCTCCTGATAAGTGGGCTTGGCTGAGGTAGGCCAATCAGCGCTCGTCTCTTGTCTCCAGGCCAGCGTGTGAATGGGACTTGGCCACGCCCTCTTATTTACCCAGCGTTCCAGAGCAATATGAGTGAAAAATCACCCTGTTCAAAACTTTGTGAGGCTTTTATTAGTGCAGAATATTGAAAAGTGCCAGAGTTGGCTTCAGACTTAGATGTTTTGCAGTTTTGCTACACTTCCCTGACCGTTTTTAAATTGATGCACTGATATTTTGCGTCACCATGAAGCTGAGAAATCAAAAGAAACCTGGTAAGTCTTTTAATTTGAAATATTTAGCCACATTTGTAATGCGTCTGCACTTGGTATTCCTCAACTTCTTAATGTTTAACCCACTTTTAAAGCAATGATAACTTGACAGGGGTTAGAGTCTCTCCGGTATGCTGCCTCTTTGCACATTGTTGAGATGAACAGAGGAGGGCTTGTTGTTGTGACAAAACCAGATTTTATTGTGTAGCTGGCACGTTCAGGGGCTTGGTGATAAGTGTAGACTGTCAACATTCCTAACTTAAAGGGGGCGGGGAAGTGGGGTCGACTGGGTGTGCACATCGTTTTTGTGTTTCCACTGTCAAGGGAACTGCGGTCACTTGGTTCTTGATAAATGATCATTGTTCTGAACAGGTAGATTGCTCCTCATCACCACTTTATTCGTTCTGAAAGTGACTCGATACTTGAGCAGGGTTCTTCCTGGCTCGACCCGAGGCAGAGGTGGTACCATTCGGATCATTTGCACAAGTATTTACATGTGCCTTGTTCTTTAATGATTCGATCTTTCCTAAAATGCAACTTTTGCCTCAACAAATACTCTCTTCTCGTACGAGGTGTATCTGGAAAGCTGAAAATATATGTATATATTTTTATTTGTATATATTTTAAGGTTACGAACCACATACACACAATTTGTTTTATCTGCTCTTGTATGATTCAAGTTTTTTGGGTATGACATCGAACCGCAGAACTGTGAGCATGCTGTCACCTCACCTGTTTGATGTTTGGAGATTCACGTCAAGCTTGGCACTTGCCAAGCTAATCATTTTGAAATTTTAGCTCTGAGCATGTGTAACAATAATATTAGTGAAATAATGATGGTCGTCATTGAATTATTCCAAAAATGAAGCATACAAAACACAGGTTTTTTATTTTTTGTCGTAATTATTACAGGATTGGCATTACAGGATATACCTGTATAATATGACTTTACATTTTGTACATTATGTTATCAATCGTTCTTTTCTGATTGGCTGGGGGAAATCATGCAGCTTTAATATATTGATGGTGAGAGTTTTGGCGTCCATATCAACCCAAATTTATGTAGCCAACTACGCCTTTAAAAAAAGCGATATGTTTTAAAAAGTAATTCATATATACCAGATCATTTTCTAAATTTCTTTAAGTTGTTATTTTGAGAAATTAGCAATTGGTCAATTTTTACTTTAAAACTATATTTTTAAAAAATGCATTAAAACATACACAACAGCTTGGGGTTTAGCGATTACATAATAATTTTTTTGGGGCAGGGGGGTGATTTGAGGATTTTATTTTATGGATATATCCGCTAAACATTTTACAACTACTGGTACAGGAAAATCATGAAAAAAATAGTTTTACTGAAGCGTGAGTGACGTTCTGTCGCTGCAGAAGTACACAGAAGACCAAAACCTTCCCATTGTACACACAGTAGATTTCCTGATGATAAATGATGACTTTGACAAGATTAGCGATGAACGTGCATTAAAATAGCAAGCTGTGTCCGGCCGGCAAACCGATGTATTAAAGAACCGCCCCCCCCCCTTACGTAATCGTGGTTACGGGGGGGGGGGGGGTGCCGCTTGCACACCACCTCTTTTTTTATGGCTATGTTGTCTTTGGAGGAAAGCCACTCAGCCATCCTGCCAAATGCCACTGAGAGCATTTCGGCAGGAATGTTTTGTCCCCTCAAGCGTGTGTTTTTTAAAAAAAAAAAAAAAATTTAACCTCACATTTGTGTCTTGCTCCACACTTCACTGTACTAAACATGGTGCAGGCCAACGGCAATAAAATGAAAACCAGCAAACACTTTACTTGGCGGCACACCGAACATTAACACTCTTTAAGTTGATCATGTTATCAGGTTACAGCAAGGTCTCAAACTCAAGGCCCGGGGGCCAGACCTGGCCCGCCCCATCATTTTATGTGGCCCCACGGAACCAGCTCAAACACGTTCACTTCCATGATTCTTTCTAAAATGTCGACCAAAATTTTTAATTCTTAGAATATATCTCTTATTTATAGCATAAATAAGAGATATATTCGAAGCATTTTCTTGTTGCCAAACCCCTCATGAAAGTAACTTCAACAATAGTTGAATCAACAGTTATTCCTGACTTCTTGATATGGTTTCAGTCATAACGACTCTCCAAGTGAAACGGTAACTAAAATGTGGCCCTCGCCGCAAATGAATTTGACACTCCTGGGTTACAGGTTGAGATTATCGATGCATGAAAGGGTTAAATTGGTTTGAATTGGAATGGCGCACAACCAAATTTGCCAATCCAGTAAATACTTGACACCAACTCTATTGTTCCACTGTGCTGTTTTATGAGTGAAATAGAACCTTGTACTTTGTCACCAATATGAAATCAAGAACCCCCCCACCCCACTCAAATAAAACACACTCAGAAGAAGCCTGACTCACTCGACTTGTCGTACAACAATGCCTGTAATTAAATACGGAGCTCCTGTTTGTCATTGAAAACTATCCAGTCATTGCAAATTTTTGAGTTGAGTTGGGTTTTATTTGCCGAGCGCCCGCTTCACCCTCCAGTCACGGCGGGAACACTCAGAAAGTTGATGAATAATTTCGCCTCGTTCTGGAAGAAGGCGCATCTGTTCCAACAGTTAAAAACAAGTTTCAATGGATTCATAAAGTTGAATGTCGACGAGCCTTGAATCTAAACGGGACGGATACTCAAAACTTCCCGTGCGTCACTTTGAATCGAGCCTTTTTGTCTTCTTATCACACACGCGCATGACTCGAGTCAAAGATGAGCTTTAAGGTTCGCTCATTGGAAAGTAAAGAGAAAAAGCCGAGTCATGCTTAGAGGCTGATCGGTAAGATATAATAGATTGGTCAGCTATTAACACACACACTCACACACACACACACACACACACACACACACACACACACACACACACACACACACACACACACACACACACACACACACACACACACACACACACATACACAGAGTCTTTTAATCTACATAGAGCGACGCGCCACCCACTCCCAAATCTTCCCCCTTGTCATGATGACCCTTGGCTCTATGACAAAACATCTGCGTGTGCGTATGCATGTAGGTGATAAGCAGGACAAATCAGTTTTTGTCTGTCCAGAAACAAGTTGTGTTGTGCGGTTGTTACTCGATTAAGTGACCGATAAGACAGGAACAGTGTGTGGGATTTGAAACTAAAGAATAAAAAAATATATGTATTACAGATTAAATGATTGGAACAAAAAAAAAAGGAACAAGCAACAAAGGAACACATCTAACTCAAATGTTTTTCAGTCATTGTATTTTCTATTCGCCGTGTAGCTTGTTTCTTGTGAGATGAACCTTTTATTCTCCTAATTGAAAACTTCATTGTTTTTTTTTTTTATTACAAAATTGTGACAATATGGTTTTAAGATTAATCTTATCATGCACCCTGTAACCTGATAACATGATAAACTGTCCACTGTAGTAACCGCTGTCCCCGAAATGGTTACGACTTTATTCTCATAAAATTCTGATATTTTAGATAAGATAATGAATTTTGGGGGCTAACTTTTTTTTTCCTCTCAAATAATGACTCTGTAGTCATAAGATTCTATCACTTTATTCTGTCATCAAAATAATAACAATATAATAATAATTGATCCCCTGAACAAAAAGGTTTGGGAATCATAGTTTGTGGCATGTGGTTTAAATTACAAATCTAGCAAATTAAAATCACTTTTAGGGGCACAACAATTATTTGTGCATTCTCGCTATTCGAAGGTCAACTGTGGTGTTGAGTTTTCTGTTCGGGATGGTCCGAATACGCTTTGAGGAAACTGTTGCCCGTTGCGAGCGCAGACAGAAAAGTGCTTCTGATATGGATGGGATAACTTTCGTCAGTGTTGTTTGCTGTTGTGTTTTTCGGGAGGGGGAGCTCATGTTTACGGACCTTAGATGAGGTCAGTAGGTGAGAGGGTAGCGGAACAAGAGTCGAGGCGACCCCGCCAGGTTCGGAAACGGGACACTTTTCATTCATTGGCTGCGTCACGAGCAGCAGGTGCGACGTGATGGAAGGAAACTCTCGTGATTGCTCTGCCCGGGGCTGTTGTGATGACGTGGAAAGGGATTTTCCGGAAACTTTTTCCTATTAGCACCTCAAAAAGATTCCATTGGCGCAATGCTGACATAAATCAGGTCGATAAGTCTCTCATGATCTGGATCCGTATCGGGCTTCTGCATAGCTTGTCGATGGGGTGATGGTTTGAATCGGGCCTGCTGGGTGGAGGGACACATCTAAAAAGGGCTAAAGAGGGGCTCTGGAGGACCGGACTTGGTCACCACTGCTCTGGATATTGCATATCTACTATATCTACTCTCTCTATATATATAAAAGAGAAAATGCTTTTTTTTTTTTAACCTGCACGTGGCTTAGGCTGTGGTTTATTGCAGTACTGCAATGTTGAAGTAACCATGTACGTTCGGCCTACAAGCTTTGCATTGTTCTTGAGGAAGCCCTCTCATTGGTGGAAATGTCATCACAACACGGATTCACGCCACAGAAACGACAGGCTCCACTCGACCTTTAGTAAACCCTCCCGCGCCAGTCAGCTTTCGTCATGTCTGTTCCGAGCGCGGCGTCTCCCGGCGCTCGTCGCGTCTGATCGACACGCTCGTGCTGCTTCGAAAAGGAGCCGCGTGCCCATGGAGGAATCTTAGGACATATTTTGTCAATATTGTATATGAAAGTGAGAACATACACTCTGTGGTTCCTGCGATGAGGATTTCTTTTCCCCCCCCTCTGAATTTTTTTTTTTATTTCTAAAAGTATTGTGCCTTTATTCTCGCTGTATTACAGCATTACAGATATAATAATAAAGTATAATATTTTAAGTATATTATTTTATATTATTTTAAGTACATAATATTTTAACTTTAATCATAAAGTTGTAATATTTTATGAATTTTATGAGACCGAAGCCGTAGTTTTATGAGGAAAAAAATGAAATCTTGGGAGAATTAGCTTTGAATATTATGAGAAAAAAGTAAATAATTTTATAAGAATAAAGGCAGAATATTATGAGGGGAAAACATTCTAAATTAGTGACAATAACATCTTCATTTTATGTGGAAAAAAAGAATCTTATGAGAATCACGTCTTATTTTAAATGGGAATATTTTATAAGACGTAAAAAGAGTCCAAAATTTTACCAAGAAAAAAAGTCTCAATCTTCGGAGAATAAAGTTAGAATTTTATGAGAAGAAATTTGTGATGTTACACAAATAATTTTGTGAGAATAGAGTCCTAATAATAGATAAAAATGTTTTTCTAAGCCCTTTTTTTGTGATGGTAAAGTTGTCCTCATTATGGGGTAAAAGCAATAATCTAGTAAAAATGAAGTTAGAAGTTGTTTTTTTTTTAATTACCATTTTATTAGAATAAAATGATCATTTTCAACATGTAACTTTGGTCTTAAAAATTGTCATTTGTCAACAACGGTCATCAAATTGGGATTAGTGGATATTGGCACCAAGACAATAGAAAGTGTGAAAATGACAATAAAAAGGGATGATTGATGGCTATTTTGGGAGGGTGGCTGTTTCCACGGCAACTCGCACAGGACTCTGAAGTTCTCGCCAACCCTTTTATAAGAATAAAGGCAGAATATTATGAGGGGAAAACATCATAAATTAGTGACAATAACATCTTCATATTATGTGGAAAAAAGTCAGAATATTATGAGAATCACGTCTTATTTTAAATTGGAATATTTTATAAGACGTAAAAAGAGTCCAAAATTTTACCAAAAAAAAAGTCTCAATCTTCGGTGAATAAAGTTAGAATTTTATGAGAAGAAATTTGTGATGTTACACAAATAATTTTGTGAGAATAGAGTCCTAATAATAGATAAAAATGTTTTTCTAAGCCCTTTTTTGTGATGGTAAAGTTGTCCTCATTATGGGGGAAAAGCAATAATCTAATAAAAATGAAGTTAGAAGTTTTGTTTTTTTTAATTACCATTTTATTCGAATAAAATGATAATTTTCAACATGTAACTTTGGTTTTAAAAATTGTCATTTGTCAACAACGGTCATCAAATTGGGATTAGCGGATATTGGCACCAAGACAACAGGTAGTGTGAAAATGACAATAAAAAGGGACGATTGACGGCTATTTTGGGAGGGTGGCTGTTTCCACGGCAACTCGCACAGGACTCTGAAGTTCTCGCCAACCCGACAAGCAGGTTGCACTTTTTTTTTTTTTAACCCACCGAAACCGCCCGTGTCATGCGATAACCTGTTGTTATATGATAGCCTTTTGTTGTTGGCGGAGCTAAAAAGAAATGACACATCCTCCCCTGTCTCCCAATAGCGTTCCCATGGTTCGGGATGGACATCGGCGGCACGCTAGTCAAGCTGGTCTATTTCGAGCCAGTGGACATCACGGCGGAAGAAGAGCAGGAGGAGGTGGAGAACCTCAAATCCATCCGCCGATATCTTACCTCAAACGTGGCCTATGGTAAAAAACAAAACAAACAAAAATCCACACACTACCTATACTGTGCAGTCAACCCTCGCCGTATGCAAGAGTTAGGAAGTATTCAGAGTCTAAAAATATATTTTTTAATTGTTTTACCTCCCCCACAGTCTGCTTGAAAGACTTACTTTCATTAAAACACATTCATTAGCATCTGTTTTTGCTCTCTCGCTAAGAAGAGACAATTTGCGGGAAGGAAGAAAAAAAAAGACTCGCAGTTCTACAAACAATGCGAGGTGTGCTCGCTTCCAGATTGTTTGTCATTCCCCTCTGAAGTTTGCTGTAAAACTGCCAAAATTCAACTAAGCATTATAAATTCAAAGCCAAACTCGTCAACCAAGACATCTAATTTCATCTCACAGGAATCTGCTAGCTTAATGCTAACACATGATGTGAAGTGCCATGACAGGGTAACAGAAATTAGCGCAAATTTTAAGGCGGAGTATATTTTAAACCTTCCGAAACAACCGCTGCTTTAACACACATGTAGAAGAAACACATCAAAACAGAGTTTACAAAATAAAAGCCAATTAGCAGTGTAGAAATAGATTAGAAAAATTATTGCTTAAAAATGTACCACGCGGTGTGGCTTTGGAGTGAATGCTTTTAATTATGCTCCCCACAAAAAAAATTTGCAAATGGGCAAAGGTTGACTGTACGCGTGATTGTGGGTGGTCATGTAAGACGACGTCCTCCCTGCTAGGCAAGACGGGCGTGCGCGACGTCCACCTGGAGTTGCGCAACCTGACCATGTGCGGCCGCACGGGCAACCTGCACTTCATCCGCTTCCCCACGCAGGCCATGCCGCGCTTCATCCACATGGGCCGCGAGAAGAACTTTTCCAGTCTGCACACCACGCTCTGTGCCACCGGCGGCGGTGCTTACAAGTTCGAGGACGATTTCCGCGCCGTGAGTTTTACTCCACAGACACGCTACATCCTTTAGTGCAGTGGAACACCGCTATTCATGGTGCATTGGCGGGGGGGGGGGGTGTCAAAACCCATCATAAATATTCAATATTTCTTTTCCATGAAAAATTATTATTAATAAAAGATTATAAAAAGAAAAAAAACACTAAGACAATGATGCTATTTTTGTTCGCCTTTCTTTTATGTTTTGTTTTGTGTGTTAGCATTAAGCCAGGAAACATTCACAAGACAAAAGCTTTTTTGTTTGGTTATCTGCACTTTTAATGTCTTTTGGCGGGAATGTTTCATCTTTGTTGAAAGTGATAATGAGTTCATTGTTTATGTGAAAAAAATGGCAAAAAAAAAATCGGTTTATTAAATTAATAGGTAATAGGTTGTGCCTTAGTTATAGCACTATGACATTGATGCTATTTTTTTAGCCTTTCTGTTGCATTTTGGATTGTGTGTTAGCATTAAGCTAGCAGACATTCGCCAGACAACGTTGTTGTGTGGTTAGCTATACAATGTATAATTGTCTTTGTTTTATGTTTCGTTTTGTTAGAGGCCAGTGGTAACTTTTTTATCACCGCAGAAACAGACATGTTTTTTTGCCTGAGAAACTCAATAAAAGTGCAGTGAACGCCATCATCCGCAATCCTAATGCTGTCCTGCGTTCTTGTCCAGTTGGCCAACCTTGAGTTACTGAAGCTGGACGAGCTGGACTGCCTGATCCGTGGGGTGCTGTTCATGGACCGGGTCGGCTTCAACGGCCACCCTGAGTGCTACTACTTCCACAACCCCTCGGACACGCAGAGCTGCGTCAAGCAGCAGTGCACGCTGGACAACCCTTTCCCGATGCTGCTGGTTAACATCGGCTCCGGCGTCTCCATCCTGGCCGTCTACTCTGAGGACGACTACAAGCGCGTCACCGGGACCAGGTCAGTGCCTTTGATCGCTGTATTGAATCTCAATGTTGATGATTGAAGTGCACGTTGTATTTCACTGGCTTACAATTATGGTGAAATACACTTTTTAGCAATTAAATAATATAGTACCCTTTGCCTGGTTTTGGTGAAATTCTCTTTTTTTTACTATGCATTTTTTTGGTTCGCTTTTTAAAACATGTTCAGAAAAATCCTATGGAGTCAACAAAATAAGAAGATAAGATAAGAAAACCTTTATTTGTCTCACAATGGAGAAATTCCCAATTTAAAGGAGCAACATTATGAAAGGGAGAAAGTAGAAGAACAAAAAGTATATAAATAAATATAAAATATAAGTATATTAAAAATGGGTAAGTGGGAGTGAGTCCAGTCCAATTCAAAACTTGATATTTTTTCTTTCGGTTGCATTATTAATTTAAAGTATTTATTTACTTGATATCTTGTGCAATATACATCCTAAAAATAAATGTAAATTAATAAAAAAACAATTATTATTATTAAAAAAAATTAAAAGAATACAAATGAATCAAGAGGATTTTCACCCAATTATTGCTACTTTTTAACATTAAATTTTACACACCATATGCTTTCATACCAAAAATAATTTAAAAAAATAGTTTAGTTTGACTCGATATTTTGGATTGTATTTTTGTATGTGTTTAGTCTCTCATGTATTCTTTACAATTATAGTAATAGTTATCGTCCAGTATTGATGTATTTTGTATTGTATGCTAATGATCCTGTGGTAAGAACACCTAAAAACGGCTTTTGAGATTAAAAACGATAACGTTTCCCCTCAGTGTCAAATAAATGACTGATAAAGCTGCTTTGTCACCTAGAAAACGTGCTAAAGGTGAACATAGTTAACATATTTACACCGCTCATCTTTACAGTATGTAATATCTCCCTGCATTACGCAACAGATACGGTAAGATTAGAGAAGTATTTTTATGACACATGGGAAGTTTTCCCACCTTACTTACAGTTGTTAATAACTGCCTCTGTCATCCCATTTCCGGTAATTTTTTTTTTTGTTAATATTTACAAGTGTAATTGAGTTAATTGTTATAATATCTTGGCTAGACAAGTTCCTGCGAACACAAAAAAAAAAAAAAAACACACACTGAGTCATTTGTTGTGTTCCCTGAGGTGAAGTCGAGTTGATTTGAATTAATTTAAATGTCGATTTGGAGCTATTTACATTGCCTTTTTTTTCCCCTGCCTTTCCAGATTATTGCACTTCATCGGATTGTAATACTGTTTCGGATTTTTTTGTTTGTTTGTTTTGATGGAAATGTTTTATCAGTATGTAAAAGCTCATTCGACATATGATTTCTAATATATAATAATTAAATTCAAAAATAACGAAAAATCTAATCTGAATTATTGTATATAATTAAATACAAATGTATAATATTATAATACAATAAATTACATTTTATTAAACAGTGAAATAAAAACATTGCATTTAAGAGACAAATAGGAGCTGGATACGATATATCCTACAATTTTTCTTATTAAATTGTGATGTTTTTATTTCAAATTTTCTTTTTTGGGTAGTAGACTTGATATGATTGTTCCAATTTTTTAAATCTATCTGAGATTGTAGTCATGAATAACACCAAAAAGTGCATCTAAAAATCCGAACAAAGAAAAAAAAACACAGTTGGCACCCTCTACTTGCAGGGCGATGGGAACCCAGCTTGACCGCCAAAACCCATGAATAAATTATTTATTATTCCTTTATTTATTTACTTATTTATATATTTCATTGGGACAGTGCAAATAACGTTAAAAAAATAAAAACAATTTTTTTTTTTTAAAATGCAAATGAGTGGCGATTAGGTCAGTCAAGCTCCATAGCATTGGTGAATTCATGAATGCCGAACTGCGAATATAGAGGCGTCCACCGCATTTTAATAATATTGGCTGAACGAATGCTATAACTGACAATTATTTTGATCATTGTAAATCTCATTTATTCATATCAAGTGTTCTTTCTCCTCCTTAGTCTGGGAGGTGGTACATTCCTCGGCCTTTGCTGCCTACTGACGGGCTGCGAGACGTTTGAGGAAGCTCTGGAGATGGCGAGCAAGGGCGACTCCACCAACGTGGACAAGCTGGTCAAGGACATCTACGGCGGCGACTACGAGCGCTTCGGCTTGCAGGGCTCGGCCGTGGCGTCCAGGTGAGTGAGTGCAACCAAAACCATTTTTCCCATAATGCATTTGGGCAAACATGGGGAAACGGTCCCGCGCTTTAAAATCTCGATTCAGTGCTTAGGAAGTAGGGAATGCCACAAACTCCGTGGCTCCCACATGATGGCACTAAGATTATGCTTTCATTGTTTTACCATGAGCACAAAAACAGTGAACTAACAGTGGATAGTTTGCCCCCCCCCTCCAAAAAAAAAAAGTATGTCAATAGATGAATTTGGTATTGCCAATAAACATGACAGACAGTAAACTTGTTTTAAATCATGATCTTATTTGTAAACGAAGAGGGGGGAGGGGTTAAAATTGGCAATCCGTTTTTTTGTGGATAAAATTTGAGATTATATTTTCAGGTCGTCGTTGCAAACAACACAAATTCAAGTCAGACCTTTTGCCTGTTAATCTCGCATTCAGATCGGCTCAAAGGTTAAGCCGTGAAGCAAAAGTTAGATCAAAAACACGGTCGGTCGTTTTTATCTCTTGTCGCTGTGTTGTTATCTGTTATCATGTGAAAAAAAACAACGCATGCCGGCAGACTGAATGTGATGTTCTTCTTTGTCAGTTTTGGTCACATGATGGGCAAAGAGAAGCGCGACACCATCAGCAAGGAGGACCTGGCGCGAGCCACGCTGGTCACCATCACCAATAACATTGGCTCCATCGCGCGCATGTGCGCCGTCAATGAGGTAAATGCGGGAAAAGTCCTGACGATGCGTTTTAAAGGAGTGAAACGGCAGGACTTGTGACTTTCTGAGTGCGGTGGGCTTCTTTACAGTGTTGCCTTGTGGCAATGGCGATCAAGCAGCATTGTACAGGGCTATCACGGCACGCAGAGCCGCAGCAAAGATGTTGGCATGAAATAAAAAAAGGGTGGAAATTTTATGATGATTATTTTAAATACCCATATATAATACGATAGAATTATTGGAATCATTCATTGATTTTTTTTTAGGACCCCTTTGAATGTTATTTATGTCGGCTTTACTGGATATAAATATATATTTTTCATCCATCTCTTTTCTATAGTCTTTGTCCTCATGAGAGTCATATCAAAAATGCCATCTTTTTTGCCATCTAAAAATTGAATTTTAAAAATACAATAATATATTTTGAAATGTAGTTATAATGTTATGAATCTTGGATGAATTTTTTAAATGGATGAAAATAAATAATAATAAAGCCAATATTCATCAATAAATAATACGTACACTGTTATGTATTTCGAAAAATCTAACCAAAGTAAAAAGAAAATGTGGAAAAATCCAACAATAATTGAAATAAATCAGTAAAGTAATATAATCACATTTTTCATTTTCTGCATCGTTTATCCTTTATTTATTTATTCATTTGTTTTTAGATCTTACTGTCTTTTTTTATTTTCTCCCAATGCATTTCAATGGACGCCAATTATTTTCGCAATTCACGAGTCAGCTCGATCCCAATCCACCACGAATAACAGAAAATTATTCATTTGTATGATTATAAATATTTGTTTGTCTCTATTATTGCTAAGTTTTCATATATTTTATTGTTTTTGTAGATTTTATGTTTTATATATATTTGGATATTTTATCTTTATTTTTATTTTTTTTCCTTTTTATATGTATAAAAAAATAAATGAATAGTGTATTTATTTATTTTTTCCTGACCTTTTTTTCTTTCCCTTGTGGTAATTTTGCTCTGCTATGTTCTACCCAATCCTCAATCTGCTCGAGTTAGCTCATGTGCACCACCATGTGGCGAGGAGTTGACATGACTTTTCACATTTGTTTTTGAGGTTGATGACACAGAGACATATCATATTCTTTTATTGATATACAGTTCATGTATAACACTTTTTATAATTTTGATGGCAATGACGAAACGTTTTTGACATGGCAGAAAATTGAGCGCGTGGTGTTTGTTGGCAACTTCCTGCGCATCAACACGGTGTCCACCAAACTGCTGGCCTACGCCATGGACTTCTGGTCCAAAGGACAGCTGCGAGCACTCTTCCTAGAGCACGAGGTAAAAAGACACATTTCAACAACATTAACTCTTACACAAGTACAAGCTGCACTCAAACCATTCCAATGTAGATACAATTGCCTACTCTTCAAACAAAACAAGACAACATAAGACTCTCAGAAACACAATGCCTTATCATCATATGTTATCACTTGTGTAGCAATTGAACAAGTTAGCAAGTACCAGAACAAGCAGCTTGTACCATAAAATAATCTAGGAGTGTACATCTTCTCTCAGTGCTCCTTGTCAAACATCACAAACAGCTGGACATCAATGTGCAACACTCCTCACACAAGATCTATTTATTTATTTATTTATTTTAACAAAGCTGGTTGAGATTCATATCAACCGTATGGCAAAGGAGGTGGTTAGTGCATGAATCCAGTTACAGAAAATTTAAATCAGTCCTTTGGTTACAAAAACTTGAATGAAACTTGTATCATTCAATGGAAATAAGTAGCAGTTAGCACGAGAAGCTAATAAAGTGGTCTACTCCTTCATTCAGTGCTCCTTGTTGGACTCAAATGCTTGATACTGATCCAAATCATAGTTCTTTGGTTCACAAATGCTGGTTGAGATGAATATCGATGAACATATATGACAATGGAACAAGCTAGCAAGAAGGTTGTGATCTGCTTCTTCACTTAATTCTCCTTTTTTTTTTTTTTTTTTATTCACGTGGAATTCCCTGGTCTCAGAAGATTCAAATCACAATCGCTCCCCGCCCCCCAAAAAAAAAATTGTCTGATGAGAATGGTGGGAATGGAATTAGCTCATGGCTAACGCGACAAGCTAACATCACGGTCCACATTGTCACTCACTCTGCTTTTTCTTGACAAACATCAGGAACAGCTGGACTCAAATACGCCAAGAAGAGCTAATTGAAAGTCATTTTGTTCACAAATAGCTGCTAAATTGAACAAACACGTTTCTGTGGTTCCCCTTAGGGTTACTTTGGAGCCGTGGGCGCATTGATGGAGCTTCTCAAGACCACCGAGGACCCCTGAGTGGCCTCTCTCCTTCCAATGCTGTGATGTCATCAACTCTGGAAATCCTGCGAACGCCGCAGAGGCTGCTAAAGGAATCACTACAAGACACAAGAAAGCAAGCGTGGGGAAAAGCCATTGGGGGACCTCGTGTACATAGCCATCAAAGTGTAGAGGTTGTACTATTGTAATTACTAATTTATGCTAATTGACTTTGTTCTAGCCCGAGTTTTTACTGACGAGCTACTGTAGCATCACGCCCCCAGAAAAAACGGTTGGATCTCTTTAAGATGAGAGGAACTCAAACAGGGGATTAGCCAAAATGCTGCTAAGCTAATACAAAAGTTGCCCCCTTGTGGTCAAATAGGAACGTCACTGCACATGGCCTTTTGCTTTTGTTTCCCTTTGTGACTCCCAGTGTGGACCAACATTGTGTCTTCTTCTGAGCTACGCTTCAGGTAGCATCTCTTGTGTTTGTCTTGCATCTCCTTGCCTTGCGCCCAGCTATTCCTTGCCATCACGTCACTTCGGTCAAGACGTAGCTGCCCATGTCCCAATATTTATGGACTTGTCTCCAAACCAATGTCAAGTATGTCGAAATCTTTGGTTCACAAAAAGGTGGTCAGTTAGTCCCGTCAAGCCAACGAGAATGGGAACACCAGCATGGGGTAGAAAGTCTGGCAAAGTAAGCAACATAAAACATGCCCTACAATATCCACTAAGAGTGAAGCTCGCGCGAGAAGCTAATGCCAGCTAGAAATCCAGGAAGTAGAAACCTGCCAAAATTAAGCATTAAGCATGGCCTTCCACATCCACTTCACACTTAATGCTAAAATGCTCAAAGTGGACCATCTCAAGCTACTCTGTCACTGTCCTTATGCCTTATGTCACGCTTCTTTGTGTTATCTAGCCTTCAGCTGAATACCTCTGAAATATTGCAGACGCCTTTCTTCAGAATTTGAAATTAGCGGAACAATCGTTTTTTTGTTTTTTTTTAATCCAAATGTTTCTTTCCCTCCCAGGTGGTTCGTTTTGGTCAGGTCTGAACACAAGAAATAAACATCATACCGGTTTTTATGCTAACGCTATCAACGCTATCAATGACTATTGATAGCGTTAGCATACATCATCAGTTTTGCGTCGATACGTACTTTGAAAAGTGCACTCGGCTATTTGTTGGTATTCCAAGTTTGCTAGATTGTCCAAGTACAGTAATTGCTTTTTTCTTTTGTCGGCCTGACGCTGAATGCTAAATTTGAAACCATCCCGCATCCTTCCTTACACCTTTCATGCTTCTCTGTGCCATCTCATCCACCCTTCCGTTAAATCCCTCTGTAACGTCACTTGCCAACACATTTTATCATGAATCTTTAGCATTAATATTGGCACTATCATTTTTTTTCCATCAAACTACAGTTCTTACCCTCACTGGTATGGTTTTTGGTCATGTAAGAATCCGATGTGACGCAAAATTTTGTAATGGGGATGTAACCATTGGTAGTTAGCATTAGCATAGCATCTTCGGTTTAGCAGTCCAAGACGCACACTGACTTAAAAGTGCTCTCGACTACTTGATGGTATTCCGCGGCCTTGCTTGATTGTCTAATTTGTTGCTGTTTGTTAGCGCTAGCCTGTAAGCCAAACACACTTCCTGTTTAAGTTCTCTTGACCGATAGAGGGGGGTGATCTGGTTAGACCAGAGTCAAAACACACTGAGGTGACACGACTAGAGGAGATAATACATGTGCAAAACAACCTTCGAGTCCACAATTTTTGTGTATATTTGTTGTTCACTTGGATCCCCATACGCCCCCGCTTTACTCTACCATCCAGCCATGTTTATTCTCACCTTAAGTCACTCCCTTCACAGCTAGCTTGCAGCTAGCAGAAAGTCTCAAAGGTTTCACATCCGTTAACCATCAGCCAGAAACTAACCAACTGTTTCTCTCTTTTCTTTCTTCTCACGGTTTTTGTGGTGCTTGTTGCCTTGGTGATGTTTTGAGTGTGGCCTCGAACCCACTGACCTCCTCCCCTCTACACACACACACACACACACACACACACACACACACACACACACACACACGCACACACACACCGTCTGTAGGCGTCCAGGCCTTCATGTTTCTAACCTCTCATGTACTCCACGTTGTTTTTGACTTCAGTGTCTTTTTCCTGTTGCACACGTTGAGTTCACAAAATGGTTAGAAGCATGGCCGTAACGGTTGATTCGGACGGTTGGGGACAATTGCTTTCAACACAATATGGCAAGAGAAGTGACTGTCAGATCTTCCCAGTGCCATCCCGTCAAACCTCTGTTCCGACTCTGATACTATCTTGGACATGTGTGTACCATAGCTGTCAAACGGTGACAATTGCTTTGAACACAACAATGCGTGATAAGAGAGTGTCAAGTCTTCCCACCCCGTCCCAGCCTTACCATTTTACACAATCCCGCCTTTGTTACGGTTCTGATACTACCTCCGAAGCCGGAATATTGCCGAATAGATTGTTCCCTCATTCCATGTCAGCGCTGTCAGCCCTCATGTTACGCAGTGGTACTAAAATTTTGAAAAACCTCAACAACCTTCATCGGATACTGTACATACAACTGGATTGTTTTATTTAATTATTCTCGTCAGTAATATTTAATTGTTTGTTTTTTTCATGTTGGTTTACAAGTTCTGTCATGACTGCGAGCATGTGGTAAATCCGAACCACAAAATGTCTACCCGGGCGGCCATTTTGTGGTTAAAAACACCAAGTACACTACAGAATATTTATGGCTAACAATGTAAAGGTCACAGGGTTTTTCCTGGCTCAAATTGAGACTGAGGTGGTACCATTCTGATCCTGTTCATGTATTTACGTGTGTTTCTATTGCTGTTTCTTTTGACACATTTCTTTAAACACACCACTTGCCTTGAAAGATACGAAAACACTTCTGCTTATTTTCTTCCAAGTTGGACATTTCTTTTGGTTACAAAAAGAAAAACATGTCCAAAATCACCCCGACTCATTGGCAGTAGGCAAGGAAATCACGATTTTAGCAGCATTTCCAATGTGTACTATTTCGATTTCAGTCAAAAATTAACCCAGCTATTTCAATGCTGGTCAGAGAATCGCCAGTTTTCATGATGAGAGAGTCCAAAATTAGGAGGAGATGGCCACCTCCAAATTTTATTTGCAGGAAAAACCCTGCAATTGAAGGTACACTCTCTTGTGATCTAATATTACGATAATCGGGCTAACATGTTAATTATTTGGGGTTTTTTTTCAGTGTTTGCTTTCCAATTGAACATTGTTAAGTTATGCGATGATTTCTGTGTTAGCGACATTGCTAACACAAAAAAGTGCTGGGACCATGCCTTTATTAAAATAACTTTCACCTGTTAGCTACTTTGCTATGCAGTTAGCATCCTAATTCATGGAAGCACTTTGTGCATTTATTTGAAATCCTTGATATCCATTTAAGGTCCATGTACTATTAAGCTCCTTGACATATGCTAAAAAAAAATGACCACTTGGATATGCAAGTGTGACAGCAAATATATAGACCTCCTCCTCCTTTGCGTCTTGTCCTGCTGATTTTTATATGAGCGCCAATGGCGAAAGTGTGAAAGCGTTGGACCATTTAACATCAGTTTGGGTGGACAAACGTTTCACGGCGAGCGCTTGTATCCGAGTCAACCTCGCTTATTGTGACGTCATTGCCTCTTGCACAACTTGAAAATGATTTTAATGTTTTTTTTAATCCTCACTGGTTGTCAAACAAACATCCCGTTGACCAGTCCAAGCCTTTAAACTCGTGATACCGGGGAGAAAAAGTTGAATTAAAATGATTGTCTGGAATGCTTGACATGTTTAATTGGTTGTGTATTTGTGTGTAGATTTTTGTAAATATGAATAATGATCTATCCTACACCAGCAACTTGTCTCTTGTTTTAACAGGGCCAGCTTTCACATACATCGTCTGTATTGTGATACGAGTGACATTGGGATCCTGAATAATTGATATCGTGAAAGAAAATCATCCACCATGTCGCAATGTCTCTGAAAGTCATGAAAACTCACAATATGATACCTCAATATTTTTACGGTATAAAATGGTATCACAATATAGCAATGGCGTGGCCATTTATATGTTGGCGGTGAAAAAAGTCTCCAATATGTCCTGATATAGTTGTTCTTAAAAAGGAAAACCTAAGTTACAATTATTATCTTAATGTATTTCCCACGATAGCAAATGGTATCACGATACAGGGATTGTCTAATAATTGTGATAGCGAGGGAATAACGATACCTTGTAAATGTATATATTGGATGAAAAATATGTAACATTAAATGTACATATGTACTTAACTAAGGAGACTGTGATTATTTTGCCATGACACCAATGGTGTCATGGTACATTTTTTTCCCCCAACAAAATTGAAGACACTACAATACATTGGAAGAAAATTCTGTCCAAAATTTGATCAACAAAAACTGTTTTATTACAATGTTTTTCAAAAAAATGCCAATGGTATCACGATATGGCAATTGCATGATAAGTGATATAAATAATGGAAGAAAAGTATTTATACATTTATTTATACATCACAATGTCATGACTCATGAAACAATTCTGTTGCAGTGATATCAATAGGTTACACGATACAGCTCAATTTTAGCATTTATTTTTGGAAATGTAAAGTCAATTTGAGATGTTTGTGAAAGCTGTCGCTGGTTTCATCATTTCTGCTGCTTTTGACTAAAAAAAAAAAAGTGCCATGTGCAATGCGTATGTAATGATGTGAACAAGACTTTTTCTCAAAAGGAATAAAAGTGAACCTGGATGACATCAGTCTCCTCAATGCTTATTACTCACAAAGAGTGGCATTTGAAAAAAAACATATTTTTGTTGTTGATTTTAGATTATTTCAACATTAATTTCAGTGAGCTAACTTTTTTTTAATCTTGATTTGAAACTTGTGCTGCAACTTATACTGCAGGAGTCAAAGTTAAGGAAGTCAGATAAAACGCTAAGGTAACGACAACACACACACACACACACACACACACACACACACACACACACACACACAGTATAGTGAAGTGTCATGTTGGGAATAATGCAGGGATTCTCCTCCCCCTTCCTCGTCGGCGGAGACACGAGTCAAAACATGTACGTTGTGTCAAGATATACGTTGTTTGCTCAGCCACTGGTGTTGCAGAACACCTTCACGGTGTCGCAGCAGGCCCAGCAAGACTCCACTCCTCAAAGTTTCTGGAGAAAAATGCCAGGAATTTGATGTAAGTTAAATATCATATATTGTTATTTGTTTTTGTATTATTAAGCAAAGTCATTTTTTGAAGTCTCTTTGTGTCTTTTAACTTTTTAAACACCTTTTTTTCCATCATGTGACTTTTTTAATTTGTATGTGTAATTTCTTTAGAATGAGATTCTTGCAACATTTCAACCAATAAGCTAACACAATGTCTTCATTCAAACTTTTTTTTTTCATCTAAATTATAGCATTGTAAAAGTAACACAATTACGGTAATGCCTGCTTTTTTGCTGTGATGTAATGTGAGGTGTTACACATTTGCCAGGATTGTTTTCAGCCTACACTAGCATACGTGGACGGAGCAGGGTGTCAAAGTATGATCATCATACGATATGTCCTGGTCTTAAGCATTTTCTTTTTAAGCGTTAGCTTGGTAACTTTTATTTTATTTTATTTTTTATTATTTTGGCCCTGGTATGGGTGAGAAAAGGGCCAAAAGTGAAAAAAATAACCCCTTGTGTGTTTCGGTGTGGAAGAAAAAAAGCACCCTCCTCGCCAGCTGTGCTCTATTTGCGTTGCAGCCTTTCAGAGGAACTCCCATCACGCATGGGCTCCAAGAACCCCCCCCCCCCCACACACACACACACACACACACACACACACACACACTCACACGTGACAACTAAAGAGAAAAACAAGCGTGTTGGAGAAGGATTTAGTGCTGCGATGAAAGCGCTGGCTACAGCAGAAGGGTCAAAGCTCAGTTTTTTATTTTTTTTTCTTCGTCATCTTGTAGCAGTGAAAAGGTTATCCAAAGTCGCAAAGTTTGCCCCTGTGTTGATTGACAGCAGTGCCAATGACAATAATATGTACCGTACTTTATGACGGAAGCTAGCAGAAGATGTCGTTCGCGAAATACAGTAGGTGAGAAAAGCTTCCATCCAATTCAAAGCTGAGAAATGAAGCTAGCTAGCATGTGGAATCTAGCTTGGCTACTAATGTAAATCTAGCAATCTAAGTTACAGCGATGTGTAAATAAATACGTTACTGAGTCTAAATTAATAGTAAACCAGACTAACATTGGGGTTTATCAGAAGCACTTTAAATGATAATAGGTGTGTGCTGACTTCCATAACTAATTCATTGTTGTTGTTGCTTGAGTTACTTTTTTTCCTTATATTTAGTTTGGATGGATGGATGGGATTCTTCATGAACGAAACCGAAACCATAAAACAAAGCCAATGAAGAACTAAAAAAAAAAAAAGCTCATTGTTGTGTGCTTCCATGCCCACATTTCTGTAACCTTATCTTCCACCTGAGTGTCAGATGTACTCATGAAAAACACAAAGGGTTGTTTTTCAGATTGAATTCAGACAGGCGGGTGGCGGTGGGCATTCGTGGAAAGGGTGCCAGACTTCAGAGTATTGACACTGTACAGTACCGTGTGTTTGTGGGGATCGGTGACGAATCCCGTGCAGGCTTTGTAGCTGGCAGATTGTTGCATAAGTGATGTGGTGTGAGTCACAGCGCTTGCCAGAGTGTCTGTACACATGCCGGGTGATAAGCCAGGAAGCAACCCACTGACCTCTTGTTGGCCTAGCTGTGTGGCACACTATCTGCTTTCAACTGACAAATGCCCATCTTTTCAGTTAGTATCAGAGCCATGCTAGGGGTAGGACACTTAACTCACTTCCGCGGGTAAAAGTTGACTTCTTTTTTTTCCACCTCTATCCATGTTACTGCTCAGAAACAGGAAATCCCTGTCACCGTTTGTACGTTGGTAAAAGTAGGTGAGACTCTGGTCCATCTCTGCCGCAGCTCTGCAACGACAGAAAATTCTCTGGATTTCCTATGTAAGGCGGTCGATCAAATCTATGTCACGTATGTCAAAATTTACACTCATCAAATTACTGCGTCAAAAGTAACCCAAATTGGGCGAAGTAGCTAACCTCGCGCAGGTTCCAAAGGGCTATAGAGTCAGCACATTGGGGTGAGAATTTGACCATGTGTCTTGTCCAGGGAAACCAAGACAACGAAAGTATTTGTACAACGATGAGATTTATTTCAGCTACAATTGATGGAGAAACACCGTTTACAGATGATGGAGCCCCTTCTTATCCCATTCTTGTTCATCTTGGAAGGGGTTAAAGCCTGACGAACAGCAAAATTACAAGCTCGCACAGCAACAAACTTTGCATAGCAACACTTACAGATAGCACGATCACCCGATACAATGACACAAGTTAACAATTATAAGATACAAGTTAGCACTGTTAAATATCAAATTCCCACAACAATTTTGTCTTTACCCCAATCTGCTTGGTCAAAATAATGAACACAACCTTGGGTAAAAGTAACTCAATCTGCTCTATATCCAGCATTTATTTTCAGTGTTTTAGGCAGGCGAAGTGAGTGAAACAGTATCAGAGCTGTGACGACAGTGGCGGCAAACGCACTGCAAACGCTGCAAGCACAGGATGATGCAAACACACAAACAACACCGATTCACAAATCACAAAGTGATGGATGGAGCAGGTGTTTAAAAAGATATCAAGTAAAACAATCATTTTTCATTTCCCTCTCTAAAAGTGCGTAAAAATAAGTGGGACGTCTTTCAAGAGGGTCTGGTCAAAGAGGTCAAACATGTTTTTTTCTATTTTCGCTTGGAATTGTGTACCTCGTGGACATGTATAAAACCTGAAACCCAAAATTCAAAATTCATTTTATTTGTGTTGCTTTTAGGTGCATTTCAATGACACCAGTTGTTAATCCAAATGTTTTTTTTTTCTTTCTTTATGACATGTCAAAGGGTGATGAATGAACATCTTTGTGAAATGAGGCCAAGAAACAACTGGATTGTGCATATGTGTGTCTGTGTGTCAGAGAAAGAGGAAGTGGAGGCGGGACCGAGGGGCTGGAGGTGGCAACAACGGGACTCTCCTTCAGATCCTCTGCAACTTCAGAAAACGTGCCACCCAAAGCAAAAAAAAAAAAAAAAAAAGCTTGGCCAATGAAAAGCTGGCTCCCACATCGTGAAGGTGTCCTGAGCATAAAGCCAAGGCGGAGGGGAAGAGGCCGCTTATAACAACTAGCCCCATGTTTGGTTGGTAGCCATGGCTGTCAACGTGCAGAAAAAGCGCCAGGGCCAGGTGACCAAGGAGGGCGGCTGGGGGTGGATGGTCGTCGCGGCCTGTTTCCTCGCAACAATCTGCACACGTGCAGTCACCAGGTGTGCATTTGTGTGTGTGTGTGTGTGTGTCTGTGTAAGATTCTCAGTTTATATAGTTGCCGCTACTAATCCGACAGAGATCAAGGTTATTATACAAAGTAGTTAACTAGAGTTAAATGACTAAAACTACAATTGAAAATATGTTTTAGTTCACAAAATAAAACAGGAAGGAAAATGCTTACTAAAAACGGACACTCAGTGAAACCACATCATACGTTGAGAAAATGAAATGAAACTATGTTTGATACAAAACTTTTGGGGTTCATTTAAAATGTATGGTTGTCTGAGAATTGTAGTTTACTTTATTTACACAATTCTTAGTGATCTCTTTTTATCTTGGACTCAACAAACATGCATCCATCCATCCATTTTCTAATCCGCTTTATCCTCACAAGGGTCGCGGGGGGTTGGGATGGGGGGTTGGAGCCCACCCTAGCTGTCTTCGGGCAGTAGACAGGGAACACCCTGAACCTGTTGCCAGCCAATCGCTAACCACCATTCATGCTCACACTCACATCTAGGGTCAATTTGAAGTGCCCAATCAACGTGCCATGCATGTTTTTGTTATGTGGGAGGAAACCGGAGTACCCGGAGAAAACCCACGCAGGCACGGGGAGAACATGCAAACTCCACACAGGAAGGCCTGAGCCGGAATCGAACCCTACACCTCTGCACTGTGAGGCAAACATGCTAACCAGTCATCACCATGCCACCCTCAACAAACGAACACATATATTAAAAAAAAAAAAATCAAAAGCTCATACTAAAACTAAAAGAACGGTCCAAAACGAATGAGTCCTTCCCTTGGCAGGAGCTCATTCCAGAACAGCTTAAAGTGTGACCAACTTTTTTTTTCTCCCACTAAGACTCAAAATTCCGACTGAGGCGTTTCCATGTTGACACTTTCTTTTAAATCGCAAAGTCAGCACATTTGCATCGCACAAAGTTATAGATTGAGTCCTACAAAGTGATGTCTGTTCATTTTGTTGTTGAGCAATGCTTGCGATGCTTTTTTTCCAGAGGTGTAGTCTTCTCTTAAATCAGAAAAAAAGATAAGTGTGAATGAGTGCCAGGTGTCCTTTGATAACCTCCTCCGACTGGTACTTATCAACCAAGACCGCCCGGCCAGTGAAAGACATGTCATTATATAAGCACGCTTATGCAAGACTCAATATATGCAAGGCTTCACAGTCCGCATACTTCCTGACCTGACACGTTGCTTAGGATAAACAAAATATGAAAAAAAATCATGAAATTATCTGACAGCGGACATGATACGACATGTCAAAATATAAATATTTTATACTGTTGTACATAGCAATATTTTATACTGTTGTACTGA